ATGCTTTTATTGTATATATATACAGGGTGTCACAAAAGAAAATGTACTCGGTCTTTTTTACAGCAAAAATAAACTAGCATCGCCGAACGCTCATTCTCCGCCCAAGGGTAGAGCTAGAGGTCACAACCAGATGCCAAAGTTTCAGCCCGATCCGATAACTTAACCAAAAGTTATAAGTGATTTTCTGAAAAGTTCGATGAGAAAATGGAGCCCATTTTTGCCTGTTTTCGATTTCTGGTGCCATAGAGCCCCATGTGTTTGAAAACTCCGTCGGCCGCAATTTTCCCATTGAAATTTTCAGAAGATCGCTTATAACTTTTAATTAAGTTATTGGATCAGGCTGAAACTTTGGCATCTGGTTGTGACCTCTAGCGCTACCTTTGGGCGGAGAATGAGCGTTCGGCGATGCCTACTTTATTTTTGCGGTAAAAAAGACCGTGTAAATTTTCTTTTGTGGCACCCTGTATATGTAGAGAACAAGCTTGCGACACCATCTACACCGTAGAGAAACGTGCACCAACGCACGCACTGCGAACGAGGCAGGAGCCTCGCACCACGAGCGGCACATACGCGACACAGAGCTCCGACGGAATACGCCGGCTGGAACCCAGGCTCGTCTCATCCGACAGAGACATAATCTCGGACTGGTCCGTTTGTAAATATCTATCTGTAAATTATGTAAATAACAAGTGTACGTCAGCAATGAAGAAGTTGCCACGTTCGTAGCTTCGTTTTACTGTTGTGCACACTGATTTAAAATCGCCATAAGGGATTTTTACCAGAATAGCCGGTGCACACTGGTCCGGGAGCGCACTTCCAAGCGCACTTCTAAGTTGCAGCACGAGTGCTTAATATGCTAAAATACTATCGAATACAAAGTTTGTATTTGTCCCTTGCCCCCTTTGTCGCGCGTCGTCTCCAGTTAGAATCATAATAAAATTTCCTGTTAATATTCACCATACCGTTTCTTAGGGAGCGCGTTGGTATTGCATAGAATTGTCTACGAAAGAGTTACCCATAAAGGGCAGAACACAGACAACAAATCTTCCGTGCAGTCTGTGCTGTCCTTTATGTATAACTCTTTCGTAAAAAAAAAAAATGTATAACATTTACCAATTCCATTATTACTCACATAAAAATATGAGAGACGTTTACAATTCTCTGTAATGCCGAATTCGAGCGCAGCTCTTGAGGAGGAGGAGGGAAAGGCATGCCCTTCCTCTTCTCCTGCTCCCCTCCCATTTAGCGAACAATTTCGCTTAATTTCCCGCTAAATTTAGTGAAAATTTACACCCGTTAAATTTAGCAGGAAACTTTTGTGCTAAATTTAGTGGAAACATATCCCCGCCAAATTTAGCGGAAAAATTTCCCAGCTAATTTTAGCGGGGAAGCGTCCCATAATGCAACACGCGGCCACGCCGACGCAAACTCCGCTCAACCCGGAAACGGATGCCTAAGAGCTGCCTCTAAAAAAATGGCTCTTGGCGGCATCATCCGAGGTTTTCTGGGATGATACTACTGAATGTATGTTGTCTACCGCTGTAGTGTTTACGTTGCTCACTGGACTTGGTTTCGTCAAAGTTGAACTGCCTGGGTAACCTTCAAGCCAGTGCACCGTGGCGTTGTAGCGCAATCGGCAATACTGTTGACCCAAAAAAAGCGATCGCCGTTTTTTCCTACAATCGCAAGACTGCCATCAAAAACTCGAAGGACGCTCAAGCTTCGCGTTTAAGAGTGGAACACGATAGCTTTATCGGGCCACGTTCGCACCGCTTGCTCATTCGCTTCTCATGATCTTCCTGCCAGTGAGCAGGAAGATCATGTTACAAGAACAGTGACCAAAGTTACAAGTTACAAGAACAGTGACCAAAGCACCACCTACTTAAAAAAAGAGGAAACAATTTTTTCCTGTTTACAAAGACGAAGAGGTTGAGGCTGTGACTGAACCATACAGCCTATAGCAACGTTACTGGAGCAAGCTTGCTCCAGTAACGTTGGCCTATTGGCGACGAGCGCGACCGAAAGCGTCGCTGTGGTCGGCCTTCCACGATTGGCCAAACGCTGACTATGACGTTGGAAATGGATTTATCATCGACGGAAATAAGAGGAATGAAAGAACTTTAATTTTGACGGTGTGGGCAGTGTTCCTTTGAGAGCGCAATGATTTCAAGCTTCCACCATGCTATTTACAAACACCATCGAATTTGTTGTTTGCAAGGTAATGACATCACAAGGGGGAACCGTAGGAGGGCGCCACCATAACTTCTCGCCGCGAATAGTAATTTCTGGAGGAGCCAAGTAGGCTTCGAAACGTCGGGACTTGTTTCTGCGGTTTTGTAGTTTGAGAATTACACTTTTAGTTTAATCATTTCACGCAACCAGAGAGATCTCTGTCGAAGATATTTATCTTCCAGTGAGCAGGAAGCGCGGCGGGCACAGCCTGGTGAGGGGGAACAGGTAATTGTGAGTAGTCGCCCCCTTTTTTCCCTGTCTGCGATTTATTTTGATAACAAGGGCCCGGCCCTCTCCCAGGTTACCTTATTTGCCTAAACGACCCCTTGAAGGTCGTAAAGTCACCTAAGAATGGAGAAATGAGCTCCAGCGCGAGAGCAGTATAACGACACTTGATGGCCGGGTTTACAAGAAGACATCACAATTTTCAGACTACAAGGTTATACTTCCCAGACAACCTTAGGGTACGCTCGTCACCAACCCGCTATTGTTGCATTCTATCATCATTGGAAGGAAGTACAAGGCAATCGACTTCAAGTACGGGATATTTTCCATCTTTGATCGGAAGGACGTCCTGGGCTTGGTCCAATATCAAACGAGTCACGTATGGATGTTGACCTTCAGAAATGCTGCTGTAAAGCTCAAAATCGAAGCATACCAAGAGTTCATTATCAAAGGAAAGAAGTGAATGATCAATGCTACGAAGAGATCAAGCTGAAAATTGTATGGCTTCCCATTCCTAGGCCAGACTCCGAGGTGAGGAAGGTTCTAGAGCCGTTCGGTACAGTCAAAGACGTGATAAACGTGGAGATTATCAGTACTCGATCTCGAAACAGCCCGAGAAGTGACTCACGTCCCTGAAGAGTCAAAATTCAATTGTATATAAAGGTAATATTTAGAGATCCAGCGCTAAGGGTCGTTTGGATATCCTGGGGGGCTGAAACCCGCAGAAAATTTGGAGGGGTTCAGGGCGTCTCTAACGGCAGTATTCTACAGACGGCCGTTACAGACGGCCGTTACAGAATTTCATGGAAATCGGCTGACAAAATGCATTTTGTGTTAAAATGGTCAGCCTTGAATTGAAACCTGATTTGAACTGAATGTATATATAAAAAAAAAGGAGGACTTTTTGAGAACAAGGTTTTCACCTTCCGAAGGATGGGTTTGCAGTTGACAACACATCTATTAAGATATTTTGTTTGTTCGGGCTTTTTGTCATATTTTGCTTGCAAATACCACAGGCAGAAACTTTACACATGTCTGCCTCCTGATTCGAGGGCTCAGTGGGACGTCTACACTCAAAAATAAGGGGTGTAGTACTTACACCCAAAAACTTTCAATTCGACGTACAGCGCTCGGATGTCGAACCGAAGGTACCTCCTTTCACGAGCAGCTTGATAGCAGAGTGGTAAAACTTGTTAAAAATGGCTAATGCACCCAAAAGAATTAATCGGGGTTTTCTTGGCCCTTCTGAAAAAACCTGTGTTTTTACAGCGGAGCTGTTAAAGGGGCGATGCAATGATTTTTTTTTTTTTTGCGGAAATACCGCTTAGGACAGCTCCCTGACGTTAATTATCTGTGAAATGCCCGTTCGTTTTTCACCACACGCAATCGAAGTCGCAGAAAAAAATAAAGAAAAACGAGCACCGCTCTCCCCCTCAACTCGCAGCAAGAACAAGCGGCCACTTTGATCTGGAGCCGATTATATGCCGCCAATGTTGATTATAGCCATGCGCTGGGCTGGCAAGGCACAGGGCACGCGCTGAGTTCCAGACATTGTTATGGTTCGGCTGTTGTCGTCATTGCAGCGATTGGACACAGGACACTACCCGAATGCTTCTCGAGCTATCGATTATCACGAGCCCAAATCGAGTGTCCACGCCATGCTCGGGTCCAATCTATGAGCCGCAAAGCTCGCGCTGCAGAACCCAGGGATCCTGGGTTCGAGCCCCACCCCTGCCCGTTTCGATCTGGATGAGCATCGTACCGGCGTGCGGTCGTGTATCACTACTGCGTTATGCACGTTAAAGACCCCAGGCTAGCGGTTGTGCCGCACTGGCTAAATTGCTCATCTACAGCTGGGAGACTCGTCGCCCCTGTGAGGCAGACCAAGTTCTAGGCTGTATAAACACACACAACCCAATTTTTTCTATGAGCCGCATTCAAATATCGTCACTGGGCGGTACTGCTACCGCCCAGCTATGTCATCAGGTTTTGCGAAGGAGAGATTGAATGAAAAAACTCGGTTTTGTCGTCAAAACTACAGCGCAACAAAGGCGTTTCTTTGTCAGTGGCGTTGCGTGTGAGTATCTTTGAGTCCCACTAGGGCCAGTAAGCTCGTGTAAAGTGAAAAACATTCCAATTGAATATCGTTGCACCACCCCTTTAAGGGACGATTTCCCCAGTTTCGTGTCCGTGGACAAATAAATCCTGACACAAGCTTCTAGACAGCTACCAGACAACCGGCTTGCCGCCGTCGCTCAAGGATGGTACATAGTACCAGCTCCGCTGCTCTTCCTTCTTCACCAGGGTGGAAAGGCTGAAATTTTTTTCTTTTATTTTTTATTTGTCAAACCTTCGTAAAATTTGGGGCAGTCAGTTCGACAGCAGTGCGCTGTACGTCGACCTTAGTTTTGGGGTGCGGTATATGGGACAAATGGGTGCAAGACTACGCCCCTATTTTTTAGAGTATGAACTGATGTCATATGCTCTTGGGTAGCAATATCTCGCTTTCAAAAGAGCGTAGAAAAACAAGGTACATGAAGACGTATTTTAGCAAACAATATATTTGTCTCAAAAGCAAGACGCCGACAGTAAAATGTTTCCAGTCTTTCCTTATATATACGTCTATTTTTTTTAGAGTGGGGATTATAAAATTGGGAGTGTGTGGCACTTTTATTCGTTCCGGAAGGCTTTAAGACAGTAACAACCAAAAATAAGCAATATAACCTCTGGAGTAACAAAACGGCTGCAGCAGCCGCAGAGAAACATGGGTGCAATGCGAGTGTCCAGGCTACACCAAGTTCGCATCTTTGGCCAAGGAGTAGAAGACGGATGTTTCATCCTTGAGTAGATCCCTCGGAGACGCGCACTCGACGATGTGGCCTCGGTCGAGAACCATAACGCTTTAAAAAAGGAAAAAGAATGCGTTAAAGTTTGTTTACACACTTTTGTCCACACATTTGCTTAGGACGGGTCGGAACGGGTCGGAACGGGTCGTTACGTAAACGTTACATTTGCATATTTTAATGAAACATTCTGCTGAGCAATCCTTTGGCCAAATATAGCAAGCAAGTTAAAATATCCACTTCAAATCCACGATTCCGTTTGTTCGTTTTGTTGTTTTCGACAATCTTTCGGACACTTCCCTATCTCTTGAAGTCAAGGGTTGAAATAGTGAACAATAAAAAAAGCCAAATAAAACTGCAGATAAACAAAAAAAAAATGAAAAGCTTTTTTTTTTTTTTTAAATGCAGCGAGTTCCACTGAGGCAAGCCAGAACGACGGCGTTCCTCTTAACAAAAAACGCGTTCCAGGAATGTGGTTCCTTGGAACGCTGTTCCGTATGATTAGTACGGGCACGTACCGGTCGTAGTCCAGGACTGTGTTGAGCCTGTGCGCGATGGTGAGGATGGTGCAATCTCCAAACTCGTTCCTGATGGTGGTCTGGATGAGGTCGTCGGTCTCCATGTCCACGGCGGCCGTGGCCTCGTCCAGGATGAGGACGCGGGACTTGCGGAGCAGCGCCCTTGCCAGACACACCAGCTGCCTCTGGCCAACGCTGCAAGGAGGCGGACGCGCTCGTTGCAGCATCATGACGCATCCGCTATAGAAATTAGCTGCATATTCTGACTGCTCTAGCAGAATTGATTTGAGGTTATGATGCGAGACATGATTAACGACGTTGATCAAACATATTTGCTCGTAGGAACTATCGGAACGTGGTTGGATTATAAAGCATACGCTCATTTGTGTATGTAGCGTCATTTTTGTTTGTAATGTTTCTCAAATCAGTTTGAGACATGAAGGACTAACTACCCCAGTCCCAAGCACTGTTAAATATCGGGAGATTTCGATTAGAGCAAGTACATACTTTGTTTTATTCCCCTGTGACACCAGATTTTTTTTTTCCAAGGCAAACATTAGAGAGGGCATATCTTTCACGTTCTATTATGCTTCGTGCCTACTCGGCGCAAGCTTATAAAATGACATGGATACCACGGAAACCACCCGAAACATTGCCAAAATCCAGAAACAAGAGCGAACAAAGGCAGCCAAGCAAACGCAAATGGAACAGAGTGATTATGTGAATGACTAGTAACAGCGACAAATACACGTACTTGGAGCGGAATTAAGCAATACGAACATCTAACAAATTTTTGCAACAGGCATAAGAAGGACGCATTAGTGACCAAGCAATATAATCTGTTGACACACTTCGTTGCCGCGGTTAGTAACACCGAGGCCTCAGTGTTTCCTCCAAGCTTCGTCTGTTACGTCCGCGACAGGTGGTTCAGCCTTCTGTGACGCATCTAGCAGTGCCGACTGCGACGTACCTGATGTTGTCTCCGCCCTCGGTGATATTGTGCACTAGGCCCTTGTCGAGGCTCGCGACGAAGTCCTTGAGATGGGCGTGTTCTAGAGCCTTCCAGATCTCCTCATCCGACAGGGTGTCGAAGGGGTCCAGGTTCGAGCGAAGAGTGCCGCTGAACAGCACCGGGTCCTGCGATAAAAACGAGAGCATCGAGGCAAGGACCCATTGAATTATCTGAGCATCCTTTCACGTTAACACGCGATGACAAGAAATCACAAAATGAAGGTTTGGAATATACCAGGGTGGATAATGCGTTAAATCGTTTTTTTTCTAAATCGTGATATAAAGCCTGCTTCACATCAACCTGGTTTTATTATGATTTAAAGCGAGCATTTCCCGCAAAAATAAACCCCAGCAAGCAAGCAAGATTTATAACAGGTTGCACGTGAGCACAAAGCAGTGGTCTTGTGAGGAAATCTGAACGTTGAGTTTGCTTTCTAAAATTGACTCCGTTCCCCAGTTACGCAACGCACTGCTGCAAGTAAATAATAACGCGCAAAAAACTAATAGAAAAGTGATGCCCTCTTGAAAGAAAATAAGAACGCAAAAGAAAGCGTATAAAGTTTTGTTCACTAACTTAGAAATAACAAGTTCTTTGTTTTATATTATGGAGAGGTTTATTCGATAGAATCCACTTTAAATTTACTACAGTTATTTCTTCCGATGGTTTTCAGTGATCGGATTGATCAATCTACCCGATGAGTTTAAAAGTACATCTAGTGATTAAAAAGCACTATTTTTGTGGCTAGAGTGACGAAAATCAAATTAATCGGGATTAAATAATAAAAATAACTGATTGAGATCAAATCGAATAAAAATCTAATTCACTTGTTAAAAAAATCGCAATTTTTCTTCAAAACTTTGGTACGAGTATATACCGAGATTCAAGTAAAATCTGAGATTATTTGTGAAGAAGCCACTATGCTCTAGTGGTTCACACTACAGAGAGCTTATTAGCTTTCTGCTTAGCGTCGACGTTGCATTATGAATTATAATTAATGTTATACACCAATGTTTACAAACGAGCCGGCGTTTGCCTACACCAGGTGTGGGCACTGCGCGTGCGCAAAAACCAGATGTTGCACGAGGTGAAGTGTCTGGGCATGCTCCGTATCGACAGCAGCGACACGCAGCGGAATGACGCCATATGTCAGAGGCAATATGTGAATGACGAGTAACAGAAACAAATGGGAGCATTTGGAGCCAAATTCAGCAACAACATTTTACAAATTCGTATACACTCATCTTTACCGATTTCTGCTCATTCCAAAGTTGTGTGCTATGGCGCGAACATGCTAATATACTGGTGACTAAAGACAACAGATGTGCGCAGAATGAAATGACGACAGTTGTGAGCGAGAGAGCCACCGCTTCTGAGGCGATTACAGGTTCGAACGGCGCACCCACCTGCGGGATGATGGTAAGCTTAGAGCGGAGGTCATACAGTCCCAGGGCAGAGATGTCGATGCCGTCGATGCAGATGCAACCGCCGGCGGCCTCGATAAGTCGGAACAGAGACAGGGTCAGGGACGACTTTCCGGCGCCAGTCCTGCCCACCACTCCAACCTAAAAAAGGCCCGCATATTTCGGTTAGATTTTCCCCATATAGAAAATGTCTACACTGGAACTTCTTGAGATCTTCGCATCAATGGTTGTACGACTTAAACGAGGCAAACCTTGGTGCATGAAATGTTTTAACCCTGCATTGCAGAAACGCTAATTGTCCTCAAGTTATGGTACAGAACGCAAACTACGATGTCCCTTGAGCGTGCAGAAAAAGCGAGTTTAGACAATGGTTAAGGGATGATAAGCTTCTGCACGTTAACGAGATAATCTAACCACAACCTGTAATCTTAACATTACAGTAAGTCGTGAATCTAACAACCCGGTTCAGTTGAAGAGCGTTGTACAGGGGGAAGTGGTTAGCCTAATTGTTACCACGCAAGGCACAGATTACAAGTAGCATGTTTTTCATTGTTGGTGTATTAAATTACCGCGTCCACACGCTCCTAGTGTATGCATTTGATTTGGGCGTAATAGCACGCTAAATTGATAGAACGTCAGTCAAGTAAGTCAAGCAACACTGGCGGTTGCCTTTTCTTGGGCACGACGTGTGCGACTGGATCCAACTCCTCGCCGAACCAGCCTGAACGTCCAGGACGTGCTCGGAATACAGGGCAAAGCAATGGCCGACTCGGTTAATTGGCGCAGCGTCTACTACATGGCGCACACTTGCGAAAAGGGTTTGTCGATTCCCCGGTATTAATATTCAAACCCCTTGGAAGACGGCATAGAAGCGGTACCTTCTCTCCGGGGCTGAGATCGCAGGTGATGCCCTTGAGAACCAGGTCCAAGTCCTCTCGGTATCTCGTAGAAAAATTCTCGAAGACGACGCGGCCGGCGACGGGCCAGCTTTCGTCCGGCTTGAAATCGGACTTGTCCCACGCAGCCTGGAAAAAAAAAAAGAGTTTGTATTTGCGGTTATTGCTATTGTAATTGTAGCCCAAGTTTGGAGCTTGCTCAATGTCGATTTCTCACGCTTGCTGCGAGTCTTTCTATAAAGTGAATATAAAGTCTAAGCGCAGGCTTTTATTTGGCGTTTAAATGTGAAGGATGGGCCCTTTTTAAAGTCGAAAATGTTGACATTGGCTTAAAAGGGCACTCGACTACCAACCAAGCGAAGGAAATTTAGGTCGAGAAATTTTGGCGTAGTGCCGCAATATGCTTTTGGAACTTTAGCGTAAACTTTCAGATTTTTTTTTTTACTTTGCCAGGAAACCAACGTAAAAAAAAAAGCTCGAGTTTTGTCTTCCAGACAATTTGCTAAAACTTCATTATAGCTTTTGGAACTTATCTACTGTTGAAGAGTGGTCGTGAATGACTCCTCCTCCTGGAATATCTGTCCTAAACGAGACAACGGCCTAGGCGTTCTAAGTTACCTCTTGCGGAGTCATGGTGTACTCAATGCAACGCTCCACAGCCACCAGGTTAGTTTCCGTGTCCGAAGTTGCCCGGACAAGCATGTTCAACGTCGAAGTGATCTGGAAATAAACATCCACCGTAAGAAAGACTTAAGCAAGCTGCAACAGGTAAAACATAACGCTAAGAATAAATAGTGTAGCCTAGATGGATATAGTCATTGAATGTTCTTTCAAGAATTATGTATACCTAATTGATAAGCACACGCTCGAACGATAAATGACCTATGGACACATCCTGCATGTTGCGGCACGATTAAAGATGCAACTAATAGTCGCAATCTGAATCGTCTCATGGGACTAGGGTTTTAATAGCATTACTAATTGGAGGTGTTTCACATGTGAACCTTCGCTACACGACGAAAAGGAACTACGTTGTCTTTATTATGTGAAGGATGTAAATGCTGAAGCATGACTAGTTTAAAATTTCGGTTCTTGGCCGAAATGTGCATTATTTCTTCTTTAATATCGTCATAGATGTATGAAGTATGTTCCACAAAGGTTCGCCATAGGCGTCTTGAATGCTCACTAGACGGGTTTTCAATTTTGTACGAAAGCGGGATAAACACGTGGGTCCCTCTTTAAAAAACTCGCCATAAAGCGACCAAGTGTTTATCACCGAGCGCACTGGGAAAGCGGAAAACGTTGAATACAAAATTAGTGCAGTAATATGCTTCCTACTGCGCATTTGTTACATTCTTCCAGACAATGATGAGCGAGGACTCTTCCGGTCACCAGAAGAGACCCCACGATTGTCGGAAGCCCGTCAGGCACCCTCCTACCACCTAGTAGTTTTCCCGTCAAAACCTCGTCGCTTATCCGCCTCTTGGTGGACAAGCAACCAGGTCTTGACGTAGAAGGGGGAAAAATAGAAAGGTTTGATCACGTCTTTGGTAGGGAAGCAGAATATACAGGCTAATTATTTTTGGGTCTGATATTCCTTGAAGCCCATAGACCCTACATATCTAAAAAAAAAAAGAAAAAAAGAAGAAGTTTAAAGCCTCTTAATTGCCGACGCACAAGCTCGGTTTTCTGCAGGAAAGATAATCCTCTTGGCGCTCCTTTCTCCTAAGCTGTAAGGGGAGTCAAGCTGGGGGCAAGCTAAGAAGTGGAGAGGATACAGGAAAGGAGGCGGCAGGCAGAAGTGGAAAGCATTAGTCGGCCTTTAAGTAAAACCCTCGAGATGAAACGAAACAGGGTATCGGAGAAGTGGGTCTCACCGTGAGGGCATAGCTGACGGACAAACCAGCCAAGCCTGGCGACAAGGTTTCCCTGGTCATCACAGCCAGAAGGGCGGCCAGGAACACAATGGAGTAGCCCAGGAACTCCAACCGGATCGCTAGCCACCTAAGAGCGAATAAGAAGAATAACTATCGTGTTTCCATCCACATCTACGGGTCTCTTGGACATTTAAAACTTGAGGCATAATAAACTCCAAGGGCATATACATATGACGTCAAAGGGGAGTGTGGACTTCGAGAAATGTTTTGAGTAAAACTTAAGCACCCACTCATGGGCGACCCAGTCAATTACAGGCATTCAAAACGAACAGAGGAAACGTTAGTTTCTGTATTAACGAGAAGGAAAAAAGGAAGTTACAATTTTAGGGCATTCAGCTGCCGGTTATAGTCTTTCGAAAGCGCTCACCTGCTGGCAGCGAGACTGGGATAGTAGCTGGTGTTATTGGAGTCCGTCAATTCATTAGATCGGGCAACGAAGCGGTCTCCTGCACCGTAGGCCCGGATGGAGCTGCTTCCGGTCACGGTTTCGGAGAAGTGAACATAGATCGGGGACCGAGAGATGGACTCAAGTCGCTTGAGCTGACGGGACGTGGCAATGTAGAATTTCTGGAACAGAACCGCGGAGGAAGAGACGAATGCCAGGTGTTTTTAAGCATGAAATGCTTTTTATCCACGCTAGACTTAGGTTTAGCCGATTTATTTTAAGTTCGCCGCTAGATTTAGAGGGAAAATTAAAGAACCTTACTATAGGTTCTTTTACTCCCCGAAACGAATGTTTGTTATCTTCTAAAAAAAAAAATTAAACGATCCCTTTTTATATAGTGTATTTCATGCAATGTATAGAACTTTAAAGGCGAGGGTCGCTGAATATATTTTACCAGACATAAGAGAGAAGGATGGTTCGGACATATGCGTTTAAGTGAACTCGTTTCACTGGGTACTGAAAGCCACGCAAAGCGTCATATGAACTCGAGAAGTCTTAGGGCTGTCGGCCACACTCAGGAAGCAGACTTAACGGAGTCTGGTCACTCCTAAATCTCTGAACCAGCCTTAGGATTAATATGTTGAGTCGATGCTTAGTAAGATGTTGAAGGCTTTTTTTTCTTCGACTAACTTGAGCTGAAAATAAATTCATCCCATTCACAAGTACACGTTTTTGTTCCTCCGTACCAGCATCCGCTACTTGTTAACCAGAAGATCTAATAGCAACGTTAATTTTAATAAAGACACGTGTACCGTAAGCAGTCATAGTAGTTAATTACTTTTACAACTTTGTGAAAGTTAGATTTTCTTCTTATATAAAGCGAATCACACGAGTAGTATGATCACTTCTTGAAGTGTTAAAGTTACTGGTATTTGCCACTGCACGTTTACGCGCTTGACCCAAAAAGAGACGTGCCTGCACGAAGTAGTAGATGATGAGGAGGGGAACGACGGCCGCCAGGAAGATGGGGTTCTCCATGGAGATCAAGATGAGCGACACGATCGTCCGAAAGAACTGCATCATCAGCATCCGGAGGTTGAAGCGCAAAGTAACGTCCGCCGTGTCCACGTCCTTGGAGAACCTGGTACAAGTCCCTGCCGTTAGCCTAAGGAATACCCTAGTTACACGGCCACCCTTAACAGCAGTTAAGTGTGATTTAAGTTAGACTTAATTGCGGTTAAGGGTGCACGGTGGGCAACCTAAACCGTAAGCATGATTAGCAGTTACTGCCTAGTTGGCAGTCACTGCGAACCACACTCAAGCGCAACTGCGGTTTAAGATGCCCACTGGGTACCCTTATCCGCAGTTGAGTGTAATCTCAGTCACACTTAACTTCACTTAAGAGTGCCCGCGTAACTACCTATACCCTATAGTTACACGGACACCTTTAACGGCAGTTAAGTGTAACTGACATTAGACTTAACTACGGTTAAGGGTGCTTCATTTAGTAAAGATTCTCATTCGTATGAAAAGTTCTTTGTCCAATAAACGCATATGATCAAATAGATCATATAAATTTCTACAAGAACATAGGAGAGTATAAGATTATATAAGTAGTGATAAGAAACTTCTTAATAGTTCTTCATTTTCTTGTATGGTTCTTATATGTTCTTATATATTCTAATTTTAAAGATGGAAGTAACGACATTACTGTAATGGAAGCACAGTAAATAGATTGCTTCTTGGGGTAATGGGCTGTGTAAATAATTACTTTTCTAGGCTGGTGATTAAGTAATGTAGTGAATTATTTTCGGTCCGTATTTTTAAGAAGATTGCTCATTGTTTTAGAAATTACTTTTTACCCATACGAGACAGTTCGTTGCATTGTGAAATGTCGTAGAAGAGACAGCAAATAAACGACGGCCATCTTAGCGCAAAACCTCATACAAACAATATGACAGACGCACAAAGGCGAACTTGAAAGGCGATGGACACGAATAAAGGCTTTCGTGTGGATACACCGTTTGAAGGCTTCGATGGCTCACAAACTCCAGACAACACAGATTCACCCAAAAACAGAGACTGCGATGAGAGCTGCATACACCGGACCAATCGGCCGCCTCCCTGGCGACTTGTCCAACGAGGATAGCCTCCACCCAATACCACCTAGAAGACAAGTCTTTCGCGTTGCCTCCGCTAAACGTCATGACTAGTAGATCCCCTCAGCGCCCCCTGGGTAGCCCGGATCAGCACCATCGTCTGCTCTATCGCCTGCTTCAGTGGTCATGCTCAGAACGAGCTCACATTAATAGGCTACTAGGAACTGCTATCTTGATGGTGTCCCATGCACGTTGCAAGTGAACTGTGGAAGCCCGCTATCCGCTCGCGCTCAGCTGTTGCGCACACAGCTATGGCCGCCAGTGAATGCGACGTAGTTGTGACGTGACCGATACTCTCGTCAACCTTCAGCCTGTTTGCTGCTTGGGTCGGGGACCCACTAACGATGATGTCATGTGCAGGCCTCGTCTTCTAGCTGGTTCCACCGCAGGCAGTATCAGCTTAGGGGTGAACGGAGCATATTCTGCGTTCATCGCCAAGCTGATAGTGCGGTGGGAGCTACGGGCTCACCGGAACAAATCACCCACCTTTTTGGCCACCGTCAACCGTTGACGGTGGTTTAAGCCACCGTCAACAAACGAATCCTTCTGGAGCGTTAACTCGAACGCACTCGCCAACGAAATCGTCACAATCATACAAGTAAAGATTATAACGGATAGAATCAACAAGGACAGCAACTTTTTAGCAAACCTGGCCTCCTTGGACTTGGCGAACGAGCTCCTCGACATCACCTCCGTCAGGGAGATCGGAGTGATAGCCTGCTGCCCAGAAGCATATTCCAGGAACTAAGGTAAAGTGAAAGATGTTCCGCTTGGGTATATCAACGACGAGCTCCTGGAATATTTAAACGATTTTGGTGTAGTGTGTTCAACGCCGAGTCTCATATCGGCGACATGATGGCGGTATTCTCGAGGAACACCCTTCAAAGGCAGTTGTCCTGACATTCCGGACCAACTGAGCCATGCCTCAGCGCCTGTGCCTTGGGTCCGCCAGCCACCCGGTCAATAAATACTTTGGACATGCCGTGCAATGCTTCATGTGCCAAAGACATAGCCGGAATTGTAGACGTGTGCGTCGATGCAAGGAATGTGCGGGACCACATAGCCGTAAAGAGCAGAACGCAAATGTGTTAACTGCAGTGGCAATCACTCATCTACACATATAGGATGCCCGCGGAAAAAGGCCGCCACTGCTGGGGAAAAAAAAAAAGGAAATAAACGGAAAGTGCCCAAGACACCGGGTTGCGTCTCCGAATCAAACCGTTGTTCGCTGTCCACCGCAACGAGATTGGTCTCATACTTCATCCAGCCAATCAACGAACGAGACAACCCCAAAATATCCTTGCAGGACTTGCAAAGAAGAAACGAGCACATTAGAGCAAAATTTTCTTCCGTCGGAGGAGCGTCCTGGTCAAGCTAACATTCGTATACCTATGCCAGCTCCGCGCAACAAGCCAGCACCACGCAACCAGCAGAATGACCTCGCGCTTCCCACCGGCACACCACCAACATTCCCATTGGCGCTTTCATCGCCGCACCCGCTTCAACAAACGAATCTATTACAGGCACTCCTACCTAAGTGTTGCGTTTCTCTAAAACCTATCGCAAGTGCTGAGGGCGGAAATTCTAGACTCAGCATAAAGGTGAACGGAGTATTGGCGACTCCAGCGAAATCGACGCCGCGTGGCGGCAACGCAGAGAAGCTCATGAGAGGAGGTCGTTTCGACTCTCGTCTGCTGTCGCTGCTTGGCTCTCGTAGACAGCATAGGAACAAACATAGTTTCCAGTAATTATTGCTATGCTTCCGCCGTGTCATTCCTACGCATTGAATAGGAGGAGGATTTTACCGTCGAAAAATCGCTTTGTTTTCATATGTAACAGCGATTTTATGTGGCAGTGCAAGAAATTTATGGTGGTCCGCGTGCCGAACGACAAAACGACCTCCTTTCGTCCACCATTTTGTCTGTCCAGCGCGCCCCCTATAGTTCGCTGGAGTCGCGAATAGCTTTCTCCGGTCGCCGTAAGCTAGCAGGATAACGGGTGTGGTTGTAGCTTTCGCTGCCTTGTCAGCTTACAGGTGACAAGGCATTCTTTACCGTAAATACCCTTTTTTATTTTTACGAGAACTACCATAATCCTGGCGTATGAGAAAAGGAAAGTGGTGCTGCAGAACATGTTTAAAAACAAAATTTGTTTCCATTGTTTTCTTGACAAGTCTACGGGAAAACTAAAGTGAAGTAATTTGTAACGTAACAAATAAAGTGATCAGTTACTTTCAGAGAAAGTAATTTTTAGCGGTAATTCATTACATTTGAGGCTCGGTAATTTGCAATTTAAAGCATTACGTTTCTGAAGTAACGGGCAGAAGTCGGATTTAATAGACCGATCTCGCTAAGCGTTCGGCGCTTGCGCGGCGCCTCCATAACTTTAGTTCGCAGGAGGCAGACGGCAGTGTACGAGAGGGCTTGTGCCGTCTCATTCCCTACACGCGCAGAGCTTTAACGAGCTTGTTTGATGTGCAGAAAGACTAAAGTTCCCTAGATGCATTCCGGCAGTCATGGCGTAGTCAAACTGGTTGGTGAAATCGATCTATTAAAAGGTTTAGGAGTTAAATACTCACCTGTTGAGGACCCTGCCCATGGGTGTGGTGTCAAAGAAGGACATTGGGGCACGCAGGACCCTGTGCAACATTCCTTCGTGTAGGATTTTGCTTCCACGCAGGGCGCCCAAGTTGAGTGAAATGCTTGCGACCAAGACGAAGATAGCTGAAATATAATAAAGATTGCGGAGTTCTAGAAGCTTTGAAACGGGTACAGCAACAAACTAAAAAAAAAAAAAAAGAAAACACGCGATAGATGCAAGGTCAAGATTGAAGCGCGATATATGGCGCCTCAATCTTGACCTCGCATCTTGACCTCGCACCTGTTATAACAGGATAATCTTCACACTAAGGCGCCAGAAAGGGGCCATCTGCAGTATGTCTTAAGAGCCGTGGTGGTAGATGAATTTACCGTAACATGCGACAATCTTTAGAACGCAGGATGTCAATTAATGCCTGTTAGCAAAGCGAATCCACGAATAATTGAGCATAAAACAATCAAGCACTTAAATCAAGAAGAACGTATATAATGAACAACTAACGGAAGTTTATCTGGTATTGCCGCAAAAACTATTGGCACAGCATATAAATATGTTAGCATTTTACATGTAGAAGGAATGAGTGAGGAACGTTCGCCACGGTGAAACTACTCAATACAAAGCAGCTAGCGCAACAGTCGCCGCTTTTTCCGTTAAAGCGCTAAATGCCTATGAAAGCTTTCTCAGTCAGTGAAACACGAATTGAGAAACAAAATGCTAGTCAAACATTTGTCATACATAGGCAGGCCTTCCGAGGTGTTTAAGGTGAACACGTCGACTCTTCCGATAGACAAGTTCAAATACGCCCATGAGAAAAAGAAAACATTATCCGAAAAAGTTTTCGGGAGGTGTCCGTATTCCAACAATGCCTTGAGCTCGGGCGGAGTCTTGGGCCCTCGCGACCAGCCGTAGCTGATCCTCGAGGTCGGAGCTGGTCAACATGATGGCTACGGCTCTCAAGCTACGACTCTGAGGATGGTTTCTCTGCTGGGACCGAAAAGCAGTCGCGCAGGCTTCAAAATATCTGGAGTATAATGTTGACACGAGACAACGCTTTAAAATTTGCGACAGACTCGGATCTTGCCAATCTACTCCTTTCGAAAGAGCTGGTTTCTTTTGTTGGATAGTTTGTTCCAGAATGTTTCGGTAGGGAACTCCAGAAAAGAAGAGACACCAGCAGGAAGGGAAGAGGAAAAGCTTTGTACCAACTCGGAGACGAAAGATTAGCCAGAATAAACCCAAAATCCATGTTTCAGCAGCTCGATCTAGGTCGAGGTAGCTCATAAGGACAAACATATCAATATACCTTTTTGCTTACTCTCGTGCCCAGCCACCTGGTAGGCATATCTGGTATGGGCGACGTAAAAATAAAATATTTCAACTTACAAATAGCAAGAAAATAGAGGGGAAACCAAACGAGAATGGGTGACGGCTACGCTTATATCCTAAATGAATTATATTAGTGTGGCGACGGCAAAACAAAGTTTTTGCCCGCAATGGAAGTGAAGATGTTTGAGGATGGCGACGCCCTTGTGAAATAGGTATTTACTTCTCACCGTAACTTGAAACGGCGAGGACTACGGTCCCAGTGAGTCAACCAGGGCGTTGGAGAGACACCCGACTATACTCAGTCTCACTGTTTGCGCGCAGTAATGTCAAAGCCACGGGTGAACGAGCGAGGAAAGCCGCTTTCGTACGTAGTTCTAGTGAGAGTCTAACTTCAGAGGGGGACAAAAGCTATGTCCAGGACACACGAGACAGGTTCAGGGTAAGAGGGGAGTTCCTCTTTCGCAACTGCTTGGGTTACACAAGTTGGCTACGCTCATCCTAATTCATCCGGCTCCTGTACCTTTAGTAAAAAGCTTCGCCTCCGTCGCTCCGATTCGCTCGAGGGAGTCATTGCGTTAGTTCTTTGCCAAGTACGGTGAAACTAAGCATAGCGTAATCACTTGGAGGAATTTTGGCGCTCGCTTGTGCTACGCAGCTTTGTGCCGAACTATCAATGCAGGAATTATGAGAAAGATGGAATGAAAGAAGGGCGCTCACTTTCCACGGTCCCGTAGACTCCGTACATCCCGAGTCTGAGGTCCCGTTGTGCCGGATCGACGGCCAGCACGGGGTCGAGAGCATCGTTGCTCCACAGGCTGAGCCAGATGCTGCCCATAATGTTGAAGATGTGGGACACGATGTACGCAGCCAGTGTGATAGCGGTCATCCACAGGCCCATGGCCTTGATGTACGCGATGTACACCCACCACTTCACCTGCGGGCGGAATGCACGACGGGCTCAACGTCACCTTGCAGATACTAAAAGTTCAACCGTTTATGAGGGCAGTTTTAAGCACGGAGATTGCAGGTATATACAATCTAAATTCACGTTTCCTCACGTCTAGCGTTCCGAATATGTTTGTGAAAGTTATTTTGATACTTCGAGGCCATGGGGTGAGAGGTCTCTCAATCACTATTAACGCATGTTCTTGGTGCGAGATCAAACAAAGAAAGAACGCAAAGCGAATAATTGAGTTTGGATAAAATTACAGCTAGCAAAACAAAAGGCTTCAATAAAAAAAAATAAAAGAGAAAGACAATGCTAGAGAGAACAGCTACAGGATGTAACTTCATGCAGTTTCTTTCCTCTGTTATTATCAGTTGCGATTCGCTGTTTTTAATAATGTTCGATCAATACAAAGTGCCGCGATGGTAGGTCACTCCCTGCCTTGTGCCTCACATATTCTTCCTACAGGTTTCTAGATATTTAGATTACTTTGACGTTCATAAGCTATATATTGTTTCCCTTAACCTTAAGTCTTCATGAACATATTAGTTTCCTAGCTCTCCATCTCCCGTACTTTTCACCGACTAGCTTCTGCAGAAAATGCTGACCCTCTCCCAAGGCACTCACCGAACCGACTTGCGCCGATTCTTCCTCAGTAAGCTTTGCCCCCGGTGCCGAGAAAGGCTTGACCTGCTCCACCGTGCCCTTGCCCTGTGACGTGCGCTCGGCGAGACTGCGACCCGAGGACGTGCGACGTCGCCTGGCGCGACGTTCGGAGTCCGAGGTGCACGAGTCACTCTCGTTTGTGCTCAGGCGAGAGTACTGCCTGAACGGGAAGAGCAACGGGAAAAAAATTGGCAGCAACCCTTCATCTCCAAAGTCGCAGAATGCGTCAAAGGCAGTCTCCAAGAAGCGACCGTTAAAATGTCTTCAAAAGACAACAAAGTCACTCAGTACGAGGAGTTAAAATGAAACTACATTTATCAATTTCCCCAACTTGACTTGGTGCATCAGTCACGTGACGTCCATTTCCCCGCTGAATTTAACGAGGAAACGAAATTAGTGTATAGGTCACGTGACAACATGTTACGGGGCGTAAACGTTCCTGCAAAATTTAGCGGGGAAACTAATTTTTGTAGTGGTCTCGTGACGTCAGGTGACGTGAGCAGTGCAACTGAATAGGTGCATAGTTCAGGTGACGTCGATTCGCTCACTAAAATTAGCCGGAAATGCATGGGCGAACGGATGGACAGACAAAGTGGGATGAGGGTAAGGGTCCCGTTAGAAAGCAATATTTAAAACCGTCTGCCTTGTACATTACGTCAAATGCAATGAAGGTGCGACAGCACTCGATAGCTTCTTAACGAGAAGCATTTCGATATGGCTCCGCGTTTTTTTGGATTATACCAATAGGCGGTTTTTATATCCACAGCAAGGGGAAGGAGGGGAGAGGGGAGGGTTAGCGCACCTTTTCGCACAGAGCTTTTCCAAGAGAAGCCCAATAAATTGTCCACTTTAATGTCAAATTTTTGTACCCGAAAGCAGGCCTTTGGCGCTACCCTCGTGCACTAGTTATCTTTAGACCCACTAAACAATATGCACCGAGTAAAATACCACTCCTTTATCATTTATCAAAGTTAAAAAAAAATTAATTTCGGGGTCTCTTTAAGCTTATAGTTACAAAAAAAGAAAGAAAAGAGCTTAAATTAGCACGACCATTGCAGAAACAACTGAAGCGTTCAAAGCCGAGTGACTTCAGTTTCTCACCTAAGAAGTTCCGAGGGAGCACCTGCTTGGGCAACAATCTCCCCGAGCAGCTGCAGGTCTTCGTCAGAAACGCCCTCGGTCTCTTCGCCTTCGCGCAGGAACTGGACGAGGAAGTCGGAGAAGGCGCCGCCGCGCGCCAGAAGCTCCTCGTACGTCCCCACGTCGGAGATTTTGCCGCCAATAAGCACAAGCACGCTGTCCACTTGGGGCAGCACGGAGAGCCGGTGCGTCACCAGGATCCGCGTCTGGAATTGTGGAAATATTCACCAGAAGTTCGGCCTGCGTCATCTTATATAACTGTTCGATTTGTGCAATATTCGCGACTCAGCCGACATCTTCATTGGTGTTGTTAGGTTATGAAAGTCAGAAACTAAATCCGTTTTGCATTAGAAAATTATAAGTACAAAAAGTGCAAAAACGAAGACAAGTAGGAGGAGGAAACGGGTAAAGCTCCTTACTTGTCTTGTTTCGCGCTTTTGTATTTAATTTGTTATGTGCTCATGTTCAACCAACGAACCAACCAGATTACTTAAAAAAAAATGCTTCGGTTTCACTTGAAGTTGGGGGGCTTTATATTTTAGAAAGATGAACATACTGTACTAGAACAGAATTCGTTTTTTGTTTTTATTTAATCACGTTCGCACGCCATTGATATGACAACACCAACCACTTAGGAACACTCTGCACCCTACCGTCACAGACTAAACTAATAATTTTAAACTTTTCTTGCGACTACCTAGAAATGACTTTTTATCCTATTGTTATGATAGCTCATCATGAAGGCAAGATGAAGTCCTTATGTTATGATGTGGTGTCACAAGGTTGAACAAGGAAATTGAATAAATAATGAGTAGGAAATGTAAAAAAAAACCTTCAAGTAACGGCTTGTAGACGATACTGAGTAGCATTACTTTTTTGACGTAAAAAAAGCGGAGGCTGCAGGCGATACCTAATAATGATAATTGGGGTTGTGGGGATATTTAGACAACGTGTAGTTGGTCAGCCATTTCAAAGATGCTACGAGTCACTCGCTGTAGATGAGAAATTTAGCTAGTGCAGAACAACCGCTGTGCTGGAGTCTAACGTGCACCACGCTGTAGTGGTACATGACCGCACGCCGGTACGATGACCATCTATATTGAAACGGGCAGGGGTCGGAATTCAATCAAAGATCTCTGGGTTCTGCAGCGCGAGCTTTCGCTCTACGTGCTCCGAGCAAGTGTGCGCTAGCCCACTCGGCCACCAAGCCTTTTTTTTCTTTATTTCCTGCTGTATACACGACACAGATGCACTGAGACAGTATACTTCTCTTACACAGACCAGTCGCCATTCGCAGGTACATCAAGCCCTAAAATAGTTTCAAATCAGCAAAGCGCAGACAGCCATTCTGGCGGTTCGCTCTGCGACTTTATAACTTCTCGTAAATAACACACGTTCTCAATAAAGTAGTCTCTGACCGGTCGAGCGTCCAAATCGGCATGTCGAACAGCCATCCTGGACTTCCACATACTGTGGAGACTCGGCACCATAAACATATCGTAGGGCACGCCGTCCACTCGGCCACCAATCCCCCAGGCGATATCTTTTGGAAGTGGCAAAAGCACTCATTACAGAGAAGAACAGGCGATACCTTTTTCTCTGTGATGAGTGCTTTTGCCATTCTACTGCTCAAACGCAATGGTCCGGGCCTGCAAGCAAAGTCTAGCATGCTCCGTGTTATATCTCTTTCGCACTTTCCTGACAACGAGCGAGTTTTCTTACTATACACTCCGAATCTCGAGTTTGATGTTGCCTGTAGCTATTTCCCGCACGTTGTCGTTATGACAAGGTACTCCACGTCATCACATACATTGACCGGGCCACACCTATGCTGCAATCACGTGACTAGGTAACATGGAGATGGACCTAACAAGGTGCCTGAAGCCGGCTTTAGTAAATGACATACGGAACATGAATTGGGAAATGCGGCCAAACCCACCTTCTTTCGCAAGAGGCCCTTGGGACCGATGACCTTGTCGAAAATGTGCTTCCCAACGTGCGAGTCGACGGCACTCAGAGGATCGTCGAAGAAGTAGATATCGGAGCCGCTGTACACCGCCCTCGCAAGGCTTATTCGCTGCTTCTGGCCGCCGCTGAGATTGATGCCCTGCACGTCGATGCACAGTGGTTTAGTTCAATAGGATGGCGGCGATAAAACAATAAGTCCCCATCACGTAATTGATACCCCTGGCGTGTTCTCTCATCCGGGACAAACTTGGTTCCAAAGATAAAGGTACAAATTACCGGTTCTCTTAAATAGGCACATGCGTTTAGTCATAACTTCAGGAACCTTTGAGCTATCGTCCTTATTGTACGTTATAAGTTATAATAGGCGATTGTGTACTGTAGATATTAATCCTTATGTCTTACAAGCATGTATAGTTGATTTAGTTTCGTGTTCTTGTACATTTGCATGTTACTGTGACCGTGCCGCTGTATCGACGACTCAGGGGTTATGAAACACGTGTCAACTGTAGTAAAATAAAACGATACCATTGCAGTTTGCAACTACAATGAAGCAGCCTTGTGAGACAGAAGTTTGACATTAATAGCAAAATGTTTTTGCCGTTCGGAGGTTTAGATCAAATTATTTAACAGCATAATTTCCACCTGAGTATGTTAGTAATCGTCCTGCAAAATGAAAGCTCAAGCCAGCCAAATAAACGTTTTTTTATTGTCTTGGTTACGGCGATTGTCGTATTAAATTTAATATCTTAATCTTTCGAAAGCCAAATCTTGTCCCGAGGACCAGCATTATCTACTACCTACATAATTCTATCCGAACATGTAATGTACACCAAGATAATTCATTGACTATTTTAACCTCGTGTAATACATGATATAGATGTTCTTGAGTAATTAAACTTCAAGACTGTATGGGCCACACGCCTTGTGTCTTTCGCAGATTGAGAGGAGCCTCTGCGAGATTTGAGGCATGTAACTCACCTTCTCTCCCACCTCCGTGTCATCGCCGCCTGGCAGAATCGCCAGGTCAGGTTTTAGAGCGCAGGCTTCAATCACTTGCTCGTAGCGCTCGCTGTCGTAAGGCTGACCAAATAGGATGTTAGACTTGACGCTGGCATTCAAGATCCACGCTTGCTGTGGGCAGTAGGCGATGGAGCCCTGCATGAAGGTCGGAGCAGAAGGTATATAGTGTGGTTAATTAAAATTTAATATCAAAAGAATGTTAATTTTTAGAGCGTACATACAAAATCACTTGTTCATAGTAATGCAGAACGCTTGCATGAGAGAAATGGTTTAACACAAAAAAAATTGCATTTCATTAACACCCAACAAATATATATATATATACATTTCAACTTCAAACAGCAGGTTTTAGTCGTAACTATGGTCTGACGAGAATAAATGAAACGTGTCCTTGCATTAAGATATAAAACAACCTTAAAATATTGGACTAAGCGCTAAGCGGCATTATAAAAATAAAGGGAACTCGCAGAAATAAACACGCCTGTTCAACGAGCAAACATATATTTTTTTATATTGTTCAAAATAACCAAGATGTGGCAGTCTAGTGTTGCTCTGTAAACACTACTTACGTTGATATTCACGGTGCCCTTGAGCTTGACCATGTCACCGAGGAACGCGGAGAGCATGGAGGACTTGCCGGTGCCGACCGCGCCAACCACCGCAGCCAGGGAGCCCTTGGGGATGCGAATGTTGAGATCCTCCAGCGCCGCGTTGCTGTCCTTGGACCAGGCGAAGCTGGCATCTTTTATCACCAGCGGATCCTCTGTTCAGCAAACAAGGGCAGCGAATCAGTTGATTCTTATTGCTAGTAACAAACATACAAGGGTTTGTGCTTTCAATCCTAAAACGTACTGCGTACCATATTCTGTTCTATCTTGGATTTCGCGAACTTCAGAGCTTTGAGGTTTAAACATGTGTAGGCTATGTGAACGCGTTTTTGACCAATTTTATCTAATTCTGTCTTTTCTTCCACAGCGCATTCTTAGTTTTAGAACAAGTTTTGTATGCCTTTTATGAAATTTAATCACTAAAGTTAAGTCTTAAACAATTTTTATGCTTCTATGCATGCCGATGTGTTCCAGCACTAGATTACATCCTTTGACTTCTTAATGTGTGTGCATATTATGCACCAGGTATTCGACGGCGTATTTGTCGCTGTCAGGTGGCATTTCACTGAAAATAAGTTTATCCTACAAATTCCTAAATTAGAGGTATACGCGGCTGAATTCTGGTAATGACTCAAATAAAATTAGCATGTTTTCAAATCGTTCAAAACCCCTACAAATGCGAGTACTTATCTTGAAGACAATTCACGCGGTCAGTGCGAACTTGGCTGGTCAGACGTATTTCTAGGGAACGAGCAAGCCACGGAGAAGCTCAGTGATGCCTCCCAAAAGTTATATAAAATGTGACAACTTTTCCCTAACACTTGTGAGATGAAACTACTTAATATTCACTAAACAAAAATATTAGAAAAGATGAAACCAGACCTTCTTTGGTGCTATGCTCAACGGCGTTGGGATCCAGCTCGTCAGAACGAAGGTATTTGTTGATTCGGCCGAGAGAAACCAGGAACTGCGGCAAGCAATCTAGCCTTAATAAACACGTCAGAGTGCACGCTGCACATTTCATTTTAAATGTAGGTCAAACACGTCATCTCAGACTCTTAATGTTTACCAGAAATCACTGACTTGATAGATAAACAATCGTTTTGTGTGGTGGCTGCTAACTTATGTCCTTTAAACTTTATCAGTAGCGAGTCAAATTACGTCACAAAAGAAAATGTTCAGTGGGATATGGGGAATAAGTAAGGTTTTGCTTTGATAAAGTAGTTTCGAGAATTAACCTTCGAGAAGCAATAAGCGCTAGAGATTAATGGTTTGCCATTTTCGAAGTGTTCTGCAAACAAACTTTTCGTAGCCACTTCGACCGCGTTTACTGTGGTAAGCGAGTAATAATGAATATTACAAACCTCATCTGATTGAACGTACTTTTAACCAAAATTACCACTTTTTTTCTTGCACGCTTGATGACAATGAAAGTTGTTAGTTTTATTTTAGGAAATCGTTTCTTTATGCGCGTGAAGCGATTGCCCACGGGAGAAAATTCTTTTAGCAAACGCTGTGAACAAATTTCTTGAAAAAAAGAAACAATAAACCTACCCTGCGTCTTTTGGACAAGGCTAGGCCATATGAGAGTAAGTTTTGCAGAGCAAACAGTTTTACTACATGTGCACGCTAAAACATACCAAACACGAACCATCATGCCATTTTTTTTTACAACTACACTGGGATCTTTGTTACGGAGCTCACCATAGCGGTGAAGGTGATGAGCATCGGAAGGAAGGCCATGGGAACCCTGAGGATGTTGAAGAGGGAGAGGGACACGAATGCCTTGTTGGCGTCCAAAATGTTGGCCGGGTCCATGAGGACGTAGACTGCGAAACTTGCCAGGGCCACCTGCAAAAAGCAAAGAATCAATTATAGTTAAAACGTCGCATCATTTCTTCACTTGCATATCTTATTTTGTAACTACTATTTTTGGAATAACTGACTAGTCAATTACCATCGATGACGGTGTAAGAAATACGAAATGAGATCCTGCCGCTTGTTAGTTATATGATCAGTCCTCTATTTCTTCCAATTACTGGGAGCTGAAATTCTACGCGTTCCTAGCAACTACCCGCTCTTTTCCACTTTGTACCATTGGCTTCCCTCAAACCCAACGTTTTTAGATTTGAGACGGAGAGCAACAGTTATGAGCTACAACTTTAAGTCCCATCCAGTTGAATATAACACATTTTCTCTCAATTCGAACAGTTAGTGCAGCCAAATCTGGGGGCCGTAACAAGTAGGCGCACCAGGCTGCACGAGCAAGACACGACGAAAGACAACGTTCGAAAGACCATATGGTGAACTCGAAATGGCTGACCAGGAAAGGAGCCGATGTGAAGGCGAAGATGACGGCCGCGCTGAGGTAGGCCTGCACTTTGAGGGAGCTCATCTCTTGGTCTCGAATTTCTTGGACGCGAGCCTGGAAGGACTTCTCCCAGGCGTACAGCTTGAGCACCTTGATGCCTCCGAGGATCTCATTCATGAGCTTGATACGACGGTCTTTCTGCTTCATCAGTCGCACCTGGAGTGAGAAATCATGGCCGCATTAGCTACCAAAAAACTGATTGCGGGCTAAATACTGTGACAAAGCAATGTAGATACTGCAGTGAAGCAATTACGTGGAGATACGATTGTTAGTCATGGCAGCGATAGTAACTTAGTCGTATGTGGATACAAGCCACCGCAGCGTAGCAGAACGCTACCGCGCGAGTCATGAATAGCCTAAGAAACGAAGGGTTTGGCGATCTCCGAGCATCTTACCACAGCCCATTGCGGCATCAGAGCCAATCAAAAGGCAGGAAGTGTGATCATAATTGCCTGCGTGTATTAAGCCGCCACTTAAAGAACGGGTTCAGCACTCAGTCAAAAGGCATCGCATCTCCTCGTAGTGTTTGCAGTACCCTACGACAGATTCACACAGGAGAGTGAATACGCTGCGAGGACTTGCGTCGAGATACTGTGGCGAGTTACGATGGCAACCTCTAGTAACATAGTCGCATCTCGACAAATCATCGAAGCATAGCGAAACGCTGCTGCGTGAGTGAGTCGCTATAGTTGCATCGATTCCTACCTGGTATTTCCGAATGTAGGCGGTGACGACGCCGTTGATGGGGAGCAGGAGAATCATGACCGCGAGGCCGCCCATGGTCGCCACGCCCAGCTGTCCCCAGAGCAGGAAGATGGCAATACCGATCTGGAGCGGAGTGACCCAGAGGAGGTTGAAAACCTGCATGTAGTCCATGATGCGCTGCGTGTCCACGGACATCAGGTTCACGATTTCGCCCGTCGTGAACTTGCCGCGCGCCACGCTCGACAGGGCCAGGGCCTGAAGGAGATGGAAACAACGTGCAATCAGGGCATGCATCCTACACCCGACTGTGCTCGCGTTAAGCTAAGGAACCGTAGTAAAAGAGGTTCGGTTTTTCGCGGAGCATTCCCGGTTCAGTCCTTCGCCTGGTCAATTAAGATATGGGGTCAATTTTAGACTAGCTTGCCATTATTTTATAAAGTTGCACATGTCTCAAACGCCAAGTTTATTTCTCCGACAACAAAGCCTTGTATGAACTATACTTCGAGCAGCTCATGAGTAATGCGCAAATCTTTTTCTTGATGTGACAATGAGTTCAGGCGCTGGAAGATTTAGACGGATTTCATTGCTAAAAAAACCCTCCTATCCACTCATGTTAGAGAAAATTAAGAACGAATGTAAATATACGATTTTACTATTTTAATCCTGGGGTGTGACGCCACCTATTCCCGCACCGTGTTAGAAACGCTGTTGCCCTGCTATGCGAGATCCCTCTCTGTCCTGTGCGGTTATTGCATTATTGCCGTACTCTTCGGATTCCTGTCTTGTGTCAACGCTAAAATCAGTACACCTAAGGTGGCGCTGTAACTATTGAGTGTGACCTTCAACGGTTTAGCTCTATGTTTAGTTTTTAGGGAAATAAGGCTTCACTCCATGTGTATTTTGCATGAAATGGATGTATCCGTAGAAATTGTTACGTTTGTTTAGATATTTCAAGTGCACTTGGCATAAAGTCGAGTTGGCCTAAAGCGGTATAATTACACTAAAGACTAAACTAGGGTAGTTTTAAGATGATTCGTGTGTATATACGCTGTGGCAGTTTTCTTCGCAGTAATAAAATGCGGACTCCAAGCCTCGCAAAAGCGCACCTTTCTGTAGATGGCGCTGATCATGGCCGACCGCATGCGCATCGAGACGACGAAGATACGGTATTCGTACTGGCTGTTCAGGAACGATTCGACCATCGACGAAAAGAACATAGTAAAGGCGAACAGCAGGCCATGCCACAGCGGGTCGTTCGAGTTCACGAAAGCGATCAGCAGGCTGAAATGAAAATTAGACAAATGGTCTTGTCAGTTATAGACGCTTTCAGCGAGTCAGTTACTCGAGCTGCCACCAGTCGGCGCGCCCTTCGCGCGCTTTCCGGGCCGCCATAGCCGACCTTCATTTTCTCGCTGTTGCTCCGCGTTGTGTGCTGCCGGAGCTTCGTTTTCGTGTTCTTTTACGTTCCGCGTTAAAATCTTGTATTTTCATTAGGTCTTTTCGATATTTAGGATTTTCATTTCATATTTATATTTTGAGATAGCTCTTGTATTTTCTTATTTATGGTATGGAATCGGGCAGCGAATGGGTCGACGATACAAGATTATGAGGCTTCAATGACCATGTAAGTTCATCCAATTCTTACGTTGTTGTCGCTAATAAAGGGCAGCCAACACTATTGCCGACATATGTAAATTGCAACTCACGGAGTAAGGCTATCACAGTCGGGCTTTTCGCTGCATGTACGCGCTTGTTTCCGTAAAGCCGACCCGCATGTCAGCGATTTAACGTGCGACGAGACGAGCGACGGAGATTTCTCACCGTCCGCCCGTCGCATCTCTCGGTTTTGGGATTTCTAGAAAACGTCGCTCACCGTCTTGGCCACTTGCTCCGTCGCTTTTATGCGGTTTGCCTCGTCGCGCAACTGACTGAGCGACAACGAGGCGGGTCGCCGTCGCTTATCTGGTTGCTCGCCAAATCGCTAACATGTGGTTTATACTCAATTAATTTCCATGCACACAGCATTGAACCATTGGCGCCTCGATATTAAGTATAAACCGCATGCAAGCGATTCGGCGAGCAACGAGACAACCGACGATGACCCGCTTCGCTGTCGATCGGCCAGTCGCGCGGCGAGGCAAACCGCATGGAAGCGACGGGAGCAAGCGACCAAGACGGTGAGCGACGTTTTCTAGAAACTTAAAAAACCGAGCAATGCAACAGGCGAGAGTGAGAAATCTTCGTCGCTGACTCTCGTCGTTGTCGCCGTCGCTCGTCTCGTCGCACGCAAAATCGCTTACATGCGGGTCGGCTTTACGGAAGCGAGCGCGCACATTCAGCGAGAAGCACGACTGGATCGCCTTACTGCGCCAGTTCGAATTTGCATATGTCGCAATGGTGTTGACTGCCCTTTATTATCAAGAAAAATGTTGGAATGGGATGAACACATGGTCTCTGAAGCCATATTCTTGTATCGTCGATCCATTCGCTGTCCGATTCCATTTCATTAATAAGAAAATACAAGAGCTATGTTGAAATATAGATATCAAATGAATAAATGAAAGCCCGAAATATCGAAAAGACATAAAGAAAACACACGATTTCAACGCGGACCGTAAAAGAACGCGAAAACAAAGCTCCGGTAGTGGCCGGTGCAGCACATAACCCGGAGGAACGGCGAAAAACTGAAGGGCGGCTATGGCGGCAGGGTCACGTGACGTCAAGATGGCGGCGCCCATGAATTGTTGCCTGAAAAGGTCTATATAAATAATGCCACCAAGTTCAGATGTGAGGATTTATAATACTTTCGCTTCTTACAAATCTGAGATTGCCCCCATTGTGCCCCTCCAACGTTTGGCTAATTTTAAGTTAGTCCTAATTCCGAAAAGTGCACTGCACAATCGACAATGTTAGAGCGAACATGGTATTGTCGCTTTTCTGGGCTTTACATTGAAAAGGTATTGGCGGGCGTCAAAGTTTACAGGCTTGACTAGTTCCTCAGATGAGCAATTCCCATAACATTGGTCGTTTTGATGACAACCTTTAAGGAGTATTCACACGAGGGAGAAATCCCGGGGATTTCACCCCGGCACGCGCGCATCACGAGAAGAAAACGCGAGGCTTTTGCACATCGCAAAGCCTGACGTTTTCGGCACGGGATGCGCGAGCCGTGGAGAAATCCCCGGGATTTTTCCCTCGTGTAAATACCTCTTTAACCTGCACAAAAAAAAAAAAAAAAAAAAAAATTAACGTCGTCGTTTGCTTGTGTTAACAGTAGTGCTGTGTACATCATATTAAAAACGGCAACACAACTTTTGTGCCTCTCCCCCTCACGGACATCTACGGAAACTTTTGCATGTATATATCTGTAGTGCAGTTAGGAATCATACGTTTCCTCTAACCACGATGCGTAATATTTCGCCTACGTCAACTCCTAGACGAAACCATCTTGTTACTAAAGTCAGAACTTGCAACCCGCAAACTATGTACGCACCATGGTACAAGAAACCGGTAGTCCCTAAACGTTTAGGCACCGCACGCCACCGGAGGATCTTCGGAGAGACATATATGGCCACTTACTCGAGTATCATGGGGTTGACGAAGGTGAGGACGCTGGCGAAGAACTTGACAAAGGCTACCAGAGTGAGCTCGGCCCAGAAGGTGCGCAGCAGGGGAGTCATGATGCCCACCTTGGACACGATAGGACGACGGCCGTCGGCGTCGGGCTTCTTTTTGGGAACCGCTCTGGAAATCGAAGTCATATTTATGCCGAGTTCCCTTGGCTTCAGACCACGTCGGCGAACAAGTGGTAGTCGGCTGTAGCAATAAACGTTTTTGTACACTTAGTCTGAATACTTTCCGGGAGTCTTGCGCGTGAAGCAGCAGAGCTTTCGAGATATGCCCGCGGGGGGCATCATAATGTTGTACTCTGCTATTCGTTTGTTTTAAACAATTTTTAACAATTATAATATGGCACTTTGTGCTCGCTTTTCGCTACGATTTCTTGTTTATCCAGTCGTATTGGGTATTTAGAAATAGTGGAACGGTGTATCACCCACAAGGCTTATGGCTGTCCGTGGGCATCACGAGAAGAAAACTAGCAGTAAACTAAACAACATGAAGAGTAGCATATGTTGCGTTTCCATGCCAAAAATAATAAAACTGCGTTTGTTTTTTGATGTAACAAGGCTGTATATGTAGGAAAGGTCAATAAACAAGACCACGTACGCTAAAAACCAAACAAACAGAACTGTTGTAGTAAAAAGATTTTTGAATTCTTGTTTTAATAATTCAAGATCGAGGAACAAAAATATTGTCACATATGCTTGTTCCTTGATCTCGGGTTTCTTTAGACAGAATTATTTCACATGACCACACTATGACTTAGTCACAACTAGGGATCTTTTGAGAGCATTTGGAGCAGCTACGTAAGGTATACACATGGTTATGTTTTTTTTTTTATTTGATTTGCAACGAAAAGTTCCTTCCGGCCGTGTGCATTCACTTGGCTCGGAGCCTTGTAAGCCTGACTGATTCAGTCAGAATTTGTGTAATGACAGATTCTTTAACCAGAAACTAAAAGCTTGGCTTTTAGCGTACATCCAAAAACAAGGATAAGCTTTTATCTACTTTGTCTTGCAATTACCAACTAGTTAACCCCCGGTGCACATCGTCAACAAAACAGGCCCACAGGAAGTTTACGAACCTTCCACAAATGCACCCTAAAAGTTATATTTATGTGCGCTCTATCCGCGTCGAGCCCGACGCTCAATTGTTATTTGGTTTTTCGCTTCGCCTTGGGGTTATGGTAAAACTCCCCTTGCCATAATACAAGTACTGCACTGGGATGTCTTTGCTGTTAGCCATGCTGCATTCGAGAAAAAACAGTAATGTTCACCCTCGCTTCTGTTTTTCTTTGTTGAAGTGGTAGTCGAAGTTTTCCACAATGTACTCCGTCTTGTTGGGCTTGTCCAGGTTCCACATGTGGTACATTTGCAGGGGTCTGATGAAGCCCAGGATCGCCATCCTGTAAATGCGAACAAAATATACACCGATACTTTTAGTTAGCCATGCACCACATAACGCCCCGTATGTAGGTGGATGATGCCCCTGAACTTAAGAGACCACTTCCCGGTAACGTTGATAGTTAAGGTAAATGGTCTTGTCCCATGAGCAAGCCAGACACCGATGTTTTTCTGGCGTCAAACTAAACTTTTCAGGGTCCAGAGCAACCATCTGCAGCACAGATTGTTCACAAGTATGATGCTTTCTGGTCAGTCAGAGACTGTCAAGAAAAATAAAAAGTTGGTCAGCAGGTTGTCCGACACGTCTGCGAACGGAGTATGTTCGATGACGCTACAGTGGCTCCAGGACGATGATGAAAATTCGCGAGCTGACAAAGCCCGTAGGTGTAACACCAGCGTCGACCATTTTATTTGCTGCTAATTGAACCCCCCCCCCCCTTTTTTTGTGTTAAAGTCACGTATTAAGTTTTGGTTTAAAATGTGCATTGAACGTCACGCGGCGAAGGACAATATGATTTTGCAGCGCGCGAAAACGCAAGTTTTTTTTTTTTTAAATAACGGCCTGGGACCTTTCAAGCAGTTGTAGCTTTAAAATAATCGTTAAACCTTTACGTTATTAAGCGCAGGGTTTGCTCTAGAACCCTTTGATTTTACAAGTCACACATGTTTACTGGAATGGGTGAGGTTCTGCGGCTCCACGGCTTTGGTCCCCTCCTAGCGCAGAGCAGCACAGCGACAACGGAGGAAACTGAAGCAGCCGATGTTTCGCTTACCCGTTGAACCACCAGAAGAGTATCCTCGACAGGAAGGACGCCTTCGCTTCGGGACAGATTTTCTGAGCGAGGCAAAAAAAAAAAAACATCAAAATTATTCCATTATATAACATCCAGCGTACGTCTGTAGTATTTGAGGGCATTACTACTACAGTTAAAGGACGTTCAAATTGCCGTGAGAGTAGATTATACGCAACTTCAGCATCATATCCTGCATTGGTTGGCCCTCTCCGAAGACGTGGAAAGGGAAAAGCCCTTTCCACGTAGTACACTCTACAACACCGCCTACGCGACATTATCCTGCTTTTACACATCTTACTCACATGCTAATCCTGAACTTCCAAACATAAAATAAAGCCATTAGTTTGTGTCAACTCAAGGAAATGCGCATGTTGTAGGAAAGACTAACTGCGGTAACGCGTACAATATATTAGTGCCCTTTTGAGACGAGAAATTAAAAGAGACTTTCTGCCCATATATTAACCTAAAAATGTAATACAAGGTTAAGAGCTGAAGTGAAGTTTTATCACATGAAGTGATAAAACAGCACAAAAAGGTACAAAAGGAAGCGGCAAACCGGACAGGACAGAGCGTCGACTCGCAACTATGCACTTTCACGAATAGAAAATGAGAAAAAACAAAACAAATTGTTCCACGGGTTCATACTCACATAGTCTGCCCATGATATACATTGGGTTATCAAATCGATCCGAACATTTGGATTAGAAAAAGGAACAGTAGAGGTGGCCACCTCTAGTGTTCCTTTTCTAGTCCAGGTGTTCTGATCAACCTGATAGCCTAATGTATATCATGGGCATAAAATGTACGTGTGAACATGTGGAACAATGCGAATTTTCTTTCTTTTCCATCATTAAAAATACATAGTGGCGAGTCAGCGCTCTGTCATGTCCGGTTTGTCGCTTCCTTTCCTACCTTCTTGCGCTGTTTCGTCTCACTATGTTTAACCCAAAATGCTATGAAAGTTTTAATCAACCTGATCATTGGAAACCAGATGCTACGTTGCTTTGCATATGCTAGTCATACTCTGTAAAATATCAATGTTCCGCGTGTCTATTGCCACAGAACACGTCGGCTGTTGTCACGTATACAAGCCATGATGGCAGCGTTGGGAGCTGTCAATCTTCATACAAGTGGCTTTTTTTTTTTACACAAGTGTACTTTGTAGCAAAAGAGGTTTGATTTGATACTTGACATGGAACATAATGGTGCCTCAGTCTTCATTATTTCGCTTTCTTAGGTTTTTGACGATACAACCGATAATTTTTGCTGCCGAGTGTTTTAGAAAATATTGAACACGTCCTCTCAGCATAAAACTGTTACATGGTGACGGTCCATGGATGTATTGCCTACATTTTCGCAACGGTTGCACGTTCCCCTATAGCGCGTTTACCTTAACAACGAATATTACGAGGTTTGCACATGAAGTTCAAATGGGAGCGATCAGTTGTTTTGAAATGTGCAATAGAAAGGCACACTTTAAAGCCCCAGTCACATTGCTCACAGATTATACGGAAGATACGGTATTTGATGACTACACGATGAGAAAATTACCTGCGGTTACGCGAAAGCATGTTGGCTTCAGGCATGCGTCGAACATGCTTGCAGACATTAACCAATATGACCGTCATCCAAGAAACACTCAGACATTGTCTGCATGCTGTACGATGCATTCGCAGTGTGACCACGGTATGCTACCTCTTCACGTGAATGCCATATCATGATCGCACTACCAAGCTATGTGCTTACCATAGCTGCCTTGGCGTCTTCAGGGGGCAGCTTATCCGCAAAACAGCTTAGAAAAAACTGTCCCAAAAAGATGGGAAAGTAGAGGACGACCGTTATGAAGCGGAATCCAATGTGTGGATCGGAGATGGTGTCTTGCTCCTGCATGGAATACCAGAGACCGACAGGAGTTTTTGTACAAAGACCGAGCAGAACACGTACCAATCGAAGCCTTAAATGGAACATGCAAGACAAGACGTGCATAGATTTTACATTGCGTTTGACCTAATGGTTGCCTGATTAGAATTAAAAGTATATAAAAATGAAGATACAATATATTATGCTGCCTTTATTTCGAGGAAGAGGGGAGACAGAACTGCAGAGCAAGTTGTTTGGGCGAATATTTTTTTAGAATTAAAATGACGTGTGCCCCCTCAAATTACTGTGAACACAGTAATTCTGGGACACATAGAAAAGTCGGAAAAAAAGTTGAGAGGAAGTGTCGTCATGTGCTTTCCAAGAAACCGTTTACCGTTCCTCATATATTCTAGATATTAAGTTTACAAACTTAAATTTTAATGCCCGGGGGAAAATTTATCCATGTTTCATAGTGTGTGCTCTTGGCATTTTGTCTTGTTCAGCTTGCTTCGAACATTTGTTTGTGTAAGATAGGCAGGAAGGACATTTAAAGCACTGGAGTTAGCATGCGGCGCATTTTTATGTATTGCAAACTATTTTTTTTTTACTTTGCACACGTTTGTTTTCAAAGCCTTGTATACAGTAAAGTATATCGAACGATGAGGTATATTTGTTAAGCTTACGAATACGAAGTATTTTGGCTCACTTAAACTGCATGTTCCTACCATTGCTGAACCGAAGATTTATCCAGAAATATTTCTACTTTTATCCGTTTTGAAACATTAAAAACCTGCTTTCAAAAGACTGAACGTACCTTAGTTAAGATTACCGAGACGCTACAATTAATTTTTCTTGTGTTATCCGTGGTGTATTTGCCCTCGAGAAGTTTTAACTTTCCAACGCGTGTCAACCAGACGAAGAAATGCAGAGGCACTGGGCTGTAAAGGCATGCACGGTGTTGTTTGTTTATTGTATTTATAAAATACTGCATATCATGATGGTAGTGGTCCAAACAGGAGTGAATACAACAATATATTTTCCGCTTTACAAGAAAATTTACAGCACATTGTCTTCGACAAAAGTGCAACGAAGACAAAATTACGGAAATGCAAGAAGCGACCAGTAGCAAAACAATAAGAAACCTTCGCAGTCATGAAATGAAATCAATAAGAAACTACGCAGTCATGAAATGGGACGAGGAAAGTTCTTCAGTAGAAAAGTAATTTAAGTCATTAATCGTCCTTAGAAAAAAGAAATTTTAAAAGTTTGGTGCCGGGAAAGTAAGGAATCAGTGAATCGGGCTGGTGATGTCTGGTTGGTGGTGATGGGTTTTAGATACGCGTCGCGAATAATAGAAAGCTTATCATTTGCAAGAACAGCAATTTAAACCTTGCTATTTTCCTTCGTTCCTGCAGCAATTCAATTTTGTTTGTTTGAATCAGGGAGGAAGGATAGTCCGACCAATTTAATTAACTGTAAATAAATCTAACAACCTGCCTTTGAACTCCTAGCTTATCAATCTTTTCTACTGACAGGATGCCACACTATGCAAGTTTAGGTCTCAAGCGTAATGTAGGCTAATAATTTCACGTTAGGGGCTTACGAATACGAGATATTTGTGCGTTGTTCCACAGGAAAAAAGTCTACAGCGCATGCACAGAACGCTTTCCACAGTCCAGTTGACAAAGAGTGTGGCGTGCAGAGGACGAGGATTATAGTTGCTTTTTTTTTTCTTGCTAATACCAAAATTCCACTGTAGTGACAAACAAAAACAATTGCCAAGCCTCACGTGCAGCATGTGCGCTATGGTATATATTTAGCAGATTACTATTAAAGTAACTCGATCATGGGAAAGCAGCTCCATTACCTTCCCGGCTTGCTAGCAGGACAAACGAATACCAACATTCATGCGACAGGAAAACTCACAACACGATTGGCTGATCAGTATTTGTTGCCATAGCAATCGCCATTTTGGTCCTTTGAAACCTTCGGAGCTTGGAACGGGTCGTTTTAAGTCAGGCGTGCACATATCGCTATGGAGCGTCGTTGTACTGAAAGCGTCTCTCGCCAATATAAGTATCTTTGGCACTGCATTCATTCAACTTACCAATCGTGCTTATCTATTCCCACTTATCTCTTACAATTAGCAAGATGGAAATTATATATATATATATATATATTTTTTTTTGTTTTGTTTTCTTCTTATATTCCGTTAAAGGGGAACTCCGCCGATTACTTCATGGTCCCCGATTTGCTTGAAATTTTGCTAAACTCGCCAAACAACATCGCCAAAATAGTATCCCAAATATTAGGTCAAAATAATTTTTTTTCACGAAGTTATTGAATTTACAATTTTGGTCCTCACCGTGTTTTTCAAACTGAAAGTCTCTACTGGCAACAATGGAAAAGTGACGTCATTGGAAGTGCAGGGGTTCACTGTTTGGACTGTAGAATTTGTTCCCAACTGATTTGAAGCAGTTTCATGGTGTGAAATGAATGCTTTGGAAGCTCGCTCCAGTCCCCGCGCTCCATCACGGAACAAATGATTGACATATTCTATTTTTTAGACTGCTCGCCCGACTGGCAAGCTGACCTTCCAATGACGTCACGGCCCTGAAAATGGCGGGTATATTTGAATGTTTGTTTTTGCATGATTTTCATTTGCCGATTTCGCAATAACTATTATGAATTTCACGATACTAAATAGCATACCAGAAAGGGTAAAGGCCGGGGAGTCAGAAAATATAGTTAGTTGAGGTAGCTCAAAAATCGGCGGACTACCCCTTTAAGCATTGATACCGCGTGTTTTGCCTGTGTGTATATTCCAAACACTTGGAATTAAAAAAAAAAAGACTTTATAAAGAAACCTGGCACCGAGAAATCAAACCGGCTTATTAAGAATTAAAAGGAAAAATAGAAACTTAATTTCATGGACCAAAATGGCGACCAGAGGTCGCCATTTGGCACTACCTGTCTCCGTGCTCGTGTAGTTAATACGAATGATTGCAAGCCTGCCAAAAGTACCTTTGCATGCATGTTGCACGTGTTAGAGACTTGTGGGTACCGATTGTTTTTTTTTCGCTGTAGAGGGTCTCGAGCATTAAGATGCGCTGTGTGGCAGCATAATTGGTCACAGGTATCCACCTTAAAAATGTTGAGAGCGTACCTCGTCAAAAACCTGCATGATGAGGGAGCGGTAGCGAACTCCTCCAGTGAGGGACATGAGAAGCCAGAACAAGAAGAGCGATCCGGAGGTGTGGATGCCCTGTCTACGACCAATGATAACCAGCACCAGTGCTAGAATCTGAAACCACATTAAAAGGAAATCATCAAAAACTGAGTCGGGCAGATGGTAGCACTCGAGATCGCCTAATGTTATACCCTACGCAAGGACTGGAGTTTGCTTTGATTTAGGGCACGCTTTAATAAACATGCAATTTACATTTGTACAAGGGCCGGAAGAAATAACTGAGTTTCTCACCGAGTGTGCGCTTTGTGAGGTCAACTCATACATATAAATTGTACAGTATAACTTATACGACATATTTAATTCATTAAGCTTTATTAGCAAATGTGAAGCAGTAAGGCACACTTGAAACTCATGAAAGATTAGAAGAGCGTTAAGAGTCTAGCAACATTTGAGTGACGTGACACGCGTTTTCCTGCGCTAGTCAGAAAAAAAAAACATTGTGAAGACTCATCTTGGCAGGATTTACATTTTTGTTCAAGTACATACACAATATTTTATAACTTTAACTAGGTGCTACCGTAAAACTAATATACGTTTCTGTATGAATAAAATATTTGCGTGTCCGGCTTTTCTAAAGACAAAACTGCACAAAGCCTCTAGCGTTCCGTCATTCGCGAAAAAGTTTTCATACACCAACTTACGAATGTGACCAGACGCAGAAGTGGGGAGTAGTAGTCGACAGGAAAGACCGTGGTGCCTTCTCCGTACAGAAGCATTGCATGCGTGACTTCGACGGCCGAAATAAGAACAAGGATACAAAGCAGCACCTGAAAGAAACAAAAGGCACGCCACTTTAAATCATCTCATCCTTGATTACTTTCCATAGTTATATACGCTAGCCCAAGTCCGTACGAAGTGTATCATACTGTGTACAGTATGTACGAACTGCAAAAAGGACAGACGTTCGTCGGGCATTTTTTGCCTTTAGTCGCTGTTCGCTTTTTTGGTTGATCCGAAAGAAATAAACTTCAAACTTCAGGACCACAACCTGTATGGTGTCACCCCGAAATTGAAGGTTTTTCCCGCAAAATGAACCACTTGTCGCTGAACGTTTTTTTCTCCGCTAAAATGTAGCGTTAGCGGTCGGAACCAGACTCAAAGGTTTCAGAACTAATTGTTATATTATTAAGAAGCTATTTCTGAAAATGTAATAGGAAAACTGGCGCCCGATGGAGCCCTCAATAATGGCGGTATAGCTACCAAGAGCGGATCCTATTATGCCATTGAAATTTTTAGAACATTTCTAACCTTTGAATCAGATGATGGTTAGTTTTGAAAGTTGTCTGGTTCGGACTGCTAGCGCTACATTTGTGTGGAGAGTGAGCTTACGGTGATCCGTAGTTTATTTGGGGACATGTGTAACAAGATGAACAAGAACGGGCACCGGTCCGGGACATTATTAAACTATTCAATTATTTAACGCCACCACCACAACCACTTTGACCCTAAGTAACGAGGTACTGACAAGACGGGTGATACTGGTATTATAACTTGGTAAAACGTCGGAATGTCAAAAAGCACCAACGGACCAAGATGAGGGCACAATGCTACCAACACGTGGTGTAAAGTAAACACGAACCACTTTGAGCAAGTTGAGGAACGTCCAGGGCAGCATCTTGAACCTGCTCATCTTGTAACTGGACAGCTCGAAGGGCATCGCCACCCACAGGAGCACGCAGGGAGCCCACAACATGGCCGTCTCTTGGAAACATGGCGTCAGGTCTGGGCTTTCGCTGTTCCAAGACAGCTCCGTATCCTGAAAGATAACCAGTTAAAATGTACGTTTTTGCAAGTAATCTTGAGAGTGAACAGGCAAGGACACAGCATAGATAGCCGTAGTGGGGAATTTTCGGGCATCCTTTAAGAAAGGCTAACACAAACTGGACACGAGTGCTCCGTCAGAGCTCTGACGAGACACGAGTCCCAGCCGAACTCGAGTCCAAACCGTGTTCCGCCTTAGCCTTGAGTTTACTTCCCTTTCGTAACATTACAATATTAGGCTCATCCAATAGAAGCCAGTTTGTAACATAAACTATGTTAAAAAATGAAAGGCGTTTACAACTTCCTGTAACGCCGATTTAGAGCGCACCTCCTGTGGAGGAGGGAGTACTGAGGGGAGGCTATGCCCGTCCTCATCCGTACCCTCTCCTCCTCCTTTCGCGCGCGAAACACGCGTCGTCACGCGACGTTTCGGCATGGTGACGTTTCGGCACCGTGCCGAAACGTCACCGGGGTGCATTGTGGGACGTTTCCCGTAATTCACCGCGCGCTTACGCCGACGCAACGGCGACGGCGACGCCGCTCAAGTCGGAAAAGGGCGCCCTAAGAGCTGCGCTCTAAAAATAGATTGAAAATAAATTGGAAGTCAATCGGGCTCAATCGTGTCGAAAGCACAGGAGTGTGCCGAAAGCCTTGGCCGCAAGTGGTGGAAGCAAATGTTGGCTCGTGCCCTCTGCTGCTGCGAGGGGAACATTATGCGACCATCACTTAACCATGTCACGCGAGTTGAATGATTGCTGAAGGATTCCTCAAGAAGTAATGGAAATAACATGAACAGTTCGTTCGCTTCCGATTTTAATTATTAAAAATACTTAAAAAATAACCTGAAATAATGGATAAAAAAAGGCGATTGTTTTTTTTAAAGCTTTTGGCAACCATGAAACTACGCAGATTACAAAATAAAATATCCAAAGTTGACATTAGTGTGTTAGAAGTGCTACAATTACAAGCTGTCATCGTAAAAGTAGTTTCACTCCAGCGAAAAATTGTGCGAAGTCCTCCATCCTTGTGGTTTCGTTTTACTTGTCCAGGTGCGGACACCCTGACTTGGCTCCACTTTTAACCCTTTAACCGTCCGGCCCGAGCTGTACTCGTCATGGAAGGTTGTACCAATTTCGCCAATGACGAGTCACACTCGTCCAGCCATTTTTTTCTATTTTTTTTAAACAATTTGAAAAAAAAAAGTAAAAAAAAAAATAAAAAAAAAGTTTACAAAAATTTAGAAAATTTTGTTTGAAAGTAACTTGGTCTTTAAAGGGTTAAAGTAATCGCAGTGTCGGTGTAAGCAATTTCATTACTGGCTCGGGGTAACAGTACTTGTAGAGGTTCTGTACGTCTGAACGATACAACTATCAGCGCTTCCACGAAGCTTTGCGTATGCTGTTTTCCCGATTGTAACCGCGGCCAGCTCGCATGATAAGATACCGCCCTCTTCAGAATAGACCTCGCGGACAGTAATGGCCGGCTGGCTAGATAGCGCCACCACCGCATTTCGTTGCACCCCCAGACTCAAAAACGAAAAAAAGGAAATAGAAATACAGCAGTAACCTATAGAACCGTTATTCATTGGCGGGGACATAAGCGATCCCGTTACTGCTGATGGTGTGTTCGCACCGACAACGCTTCCGCAACGTGCGTCACACTATCAAGATTGCATTCTTGACTGACATTATGTGCTATCGGGTTCGAATGAAATACGAACAGCGGAGCGCGTGGCCGTCGGTACATGCTGCGCCGCCTCCTCGAGGCCTCTTGAAACTGCTAAAGCTGCTTTTTGGAGCGTAGGGCGCTGCAAGGATGTGCGTCCTACTCCTATGTGTTTATTTGACCCTCGCCCAGCACAACCCAAGCTTGGACGCTGCGCCGGTGATGCGCTGAAAGTTCTGTCGCAGCCACTTTCGTTGACACGGCATGAGTCATGCGAGGCAGCTCGTCGCTCGCAGCAGGAACAGGCTGCTTGCGCGCGCGCGCGCATCCGTGGGGCATTGTCCCAGCTTCATGCTCCCTCCCAACTTGCAGTTTTTCTTATTTTCTTAATAAGCGCTGTCATTTTCCTGCCAAGAGTATAGCAGAAACTACGAAATTTGAGACAGAATAACAAGAGTGCACCAAGGACAGCTGCTCACGCCTAAAAGAAGTCAATTACTTGGCAAGCTTTTGCCTCAGCTCTAGCGCTGCGTCCCCTCTAGTTCTTGTGTCTCGTCTTCAGCGCTGGGATCGCCAAAATGCAGGTCCGGAAGCACCGGCATTCACCAAACATGTAACAAAATGCAGTAACTTTATCATTGACAGTTTTCAGACAGCCAGAATCTCGTTCATCCAGCTTATTAAATTAAATCGTGTGTTAGAAGTGTGAAATATAAGTTAAAGCAGTTTGTTTCTGCACGGAAGACCTGTGGAGCTTGACGACAGTTATCAGAACCACTCAGACGTCCTCGTGAAGGACCTAGAACGCATGGCTCCTAGAAAATAGTGAAACAGCGTGGACCCGTTTATTGCCAGGTAGCATTTGTGCAAAAGGAAATAAAGAAATAGGGAACACGAATGCCGCAACCGTCAAAAACTAACGCCTCAGGCAGCGCTGCAGCAGTAGCTGTCATGGCCGGCTTGCTTTCGATATCACAGAGGTGGTCTTGGTGAAGTGCCAGTTAATACTTAGTGAAGTCTGCTTCAGCGTCTACAACGGCAGCCATCCGACGAGGTAGTCCTTCCATCAGGAAGGATACCAGGTCGGAGGCCACGGTGGAAGAAACACAGTGATGACTCTGGCCGCTCTTGCCGCGGGGAGCGATGGAGCGACCATATCGTGTTCGGAGATAGCCTCGAACCAGGAGTAGTTAGTTCCGCGCCGCCGCGGAGGGCGCTGACGTATGAGGTCCCTCTTCGGCGGTCAGTGTCGGCGGCATAGCGTGCTCGCCTTTTTTGCGGTGTGGTAGTGGCGTGCGGCCAGTGGCTGGTCTCGTGTTTTGCTTTGGTGCTGTGTCGATTACAGGTGCCACCATCATGCACGAAGGTGAGCCTTAAACCGAAGAAGAATGAGGAAGAGAACACAGATTTACGGACTCTGGTGACTTGGTGGCGGCGTGGCGGCGGTGAGGTACAACAAGAAGCTGTGAGCCAGGCTCACAGCATCTTGTTGTACCTCCCAAACAACCGGGGCGGTCGGTTTGGGAGGGATCTCATACTTGGGCGCCATCTATCCCCGTGCGAGTGAAGCGCGCTCGGTGCGCCGAACATAATGGGGTCGCCACGTCGGACAGGGTCATCACGTAAATGTTTCTTTCGCCTTGTCCGAAACTCGCAGCCGCTCCCACTGAGCCTCGACCACCATGACAACGGGTATTCAGGAAAAAAAGAAAAAACAACTGCGCAAGTTAGGAGGGACAATGACGCTGCAATAATGCTCCACGGAGGCGCGCGCTAAACAGCCAGCTCGTGCTGAGAGCAGCGAGTCTCCTCGCCGATGGCTCATGCCGAGCCAACGAGATTGGCTGTGACAGAACTTCCAGGGCACCACCGGCGTAGTGTCGTTTTGTGCAGGTCGAGGGTCAAACACATCGGAGTAGGACCCACACCCTCTCAGCAACCTACTGACTAAACTGCAGTTTTATCAGTTTGAAGAGGCCTCTAGAAGGCGCAGCATGTACCGAAGGCCACGCGCTCAGCTGTTCGCATTTCATTTGAACCCGGTAGTACAGTCGGCAACAAAACTTTGCGGGGCACGGGAGCGCCAGCCAAAATGACTAATAGCGCCTTCTGACTGCGCGTTGCCACTCACAAGGCTCACACTTTGCACATTGCCTTCCTTTCGTGTTTGCAGACATGTTTTATTGTTTTTTTAGCTTGCTTTTGTCCTACTTTTACGAGAAAACAGGGACGGGCGCAAAGTTCTGCGAAATGTTATCTGTCGCATGCGAGCTCCGTCACACGATGGCGGAGGCAGACACGCGACACGAGGGCTGAAGGGGTGCCCAAACAGGATACTAAAAAACCCACGACTCCGACAAATCATGCGGTGCTCCGCTTCCGGCAGGTTTTCTTTGCCGGGGGGAAACTTCCCCCTCCGTCAAAACTTCCGGGGGAAACTTCCCCCGTCAAATCTCCTCCTTCAGAGATTTGACAGGGGAAAGTTTCCCCCCGGCAAAGAAAAAACGGCCGGAAGCGGAGCGCCGCACGTTTTGTCGGAGTCGTGCGTTTTGTAGTATCCTGTTTGGGACACCCCTTGACAAAGCGGCACATTGCGCCGGTCCCGGTTATCAAGTAAGCGACGGACGGAAACGAATAAAGAAAAAAAAAAGGACAAGAAAAGGGCGACTTAGCACAAAAGGAAGCGCATTCTCGAAGCGTAAAATTAAGATCGGTCGAGCGCCGTCAGAGGGCGCCATCAGTCCTTTCGGCTGGCGCTCCCATGCCCACTAACTTTTGTTGCTGACCGAGCTTGTTCTGCTCATACGCCGTGAATATCGCGTTCAAATATGGCGTCCAGTGAATACGACCGGTTGCTCATTGGCCAATGAAAATCCCAAGATCGCAGTTCGTATGACCGAAAAACAAGGACATTAATTTGTAGCAGTGAACGGTGTACTGACTGCCACTGGCTCGGGTGTCCCAGACGCAAAGGCCATTGCGGGGCCTTGTTTCCAACTCGTGAAGAGACATGGTGTCGATTACTTTATAAGAGGGGGTCATATTGCCGTCATACGCAAGACCAAAATATTTGTAAAATGTCAAGCAATCCGTTCTGGATGATATCCGGGTGAAAGAGGTATCAATACTCACGCGAAAAAGGTGTCAAATCTTTGGGATAGAGCTAGACGTATTACTTCGAGGACAGTTAGCAGGTCATTGCAACAGGGTAAGAATTGTATCAAAAGAAAAAAGAAACGCAACTAAGGACCAAATTTATTCCTGCTTACGCAACAAAACGTCTGTGGCGATAAGCTCAAGCCACAGCTGAACGATATTACAAAATTTGCTCAACAACTTGACGCCCCACGTAGTTTAAACTCGTTATCCACCTTCTATGAATCCCAATTCCCCCGGAACTTCGAAACTTCGAAACTTCCGTCATTTCCTAACTCAACGTCACCAAAACCAACTCTGCAAACAAAAAAAAACAAAAACAAAAAAAAAGCATTGAAGTTTACTATCGCTTCGGAGGGAATACAAATTTGAATATAGGCTCACTCACCCAGAACGTGGATCCACAAAAGGCGTCCATGGCAGGCGGTGTATTCGGCGACGGCAACTTAATTCAACTCTCGGATCATCGCAGTTTGGGATGAAAAATAAAACACCCAAAGCACGCCCCCCGCACTGCACGCGACCGTATCCGCCGGTCCCCGATAACGAATGAGCACGACAGCCGTATCAGTCGCTTTTTTTTTTCTATCGAGGCTTGCCAGCGCCACCTACGGTGCGACAGAACCGTCGCTTCCCGATTAAAAACCCGCGAGGATAGACGAACGCCGACACGCTATCACCTGTCCCCCCGTCACTTCTGGATTATCTCCAGTGTTCGTCGCCGACACCGGAAAGAAGCTGCCGAGCGGCCACGTTAGTTGCTTAAAATTTCCATGAGGTTTTCGCCATAACTTCGTAAGACACAATCGAGAGTTTTAGTATTGCTTGAAGTAGGAGAAAATGCAAGCGCTCCAAGACCGCTGTTTGGGCTCCTCCCCGCACGAGGTGCAACACGCAACACTAACGCAAACTCACAGTGCTAGCGTTCACTCTTGTACGCGACACCAAAACTCACTGTTAGCGAGTTTTAGAGAAGCGTACGCAACATATTTGGGCACGTAAAGAAATGGCGTCGTCGCCATGCGCCAATCAAAAACTCGATTTGAGCTTGGCCCATGCACACTGGAGTCGACGCTACTCCTTTGCGTACGTTTTTTTTTTTTTTTTTAAACTAGCTATTGGACAAGCCTTATTGGAGCCGTAATTACTGACCTTAACTGCCGAATCAAAATCCCAGATTATAATTTTCTTTTTAGAAATCGTGCTGTTTTAGAACGCTGTTCTTTTTGATCTTCTGTTGAATGCTCTAGTTACCTAAGATTTACTCATCTAGAGCCGCAATCCTGGAGTAGTTTCGGGTCGCTCCAGATTCACCATTCGATCTAGCCATGACTCTAGGTCAATCTGCCATCGCTTGGTGCCGGACCACAACTTTCACAACTTTCACGGGCCGATGCCGGGCAATCTAAACTAATCCAAACGATCCAAACATATTCCAGAAAAAGAAAATACCGGTAGCTTGACCAAGGGACCGATAAGGAAACAGAGACAAATGGCAATAAAGCAGACGATTCACTCGTTTATAAAGCCAGAAACACCGAGGCACCACGAGCGTCTAAAATGTGCACACACAATTTAAAGGAAACAAGCCGAAACTGGCTCTACAAGAAACTCACGTCACAAGCGACACTTTGGATGAGCCTATTTCTAGCTCGGTCACTGCATATCCACGGGTAATCTGCGGATGTTCGCGACAGGGGCGGATCCAGGGGGGGGGGGGGGGGGTGACTGGGGCGGCCAACCCCCCCCCCCCCCCTCCACACACACACACAAAGAAAGTCGACCCCCCCCCCCCCCCCCCCCCCCCGAAATAACACCGACTACCGGCCTGCCAGGTGGTAGGGTGGTAGGAGGCTCGGTACTCAAGGACGAGGGTTCAAAACAGGGTTGGTCGCACCCTAGCGGGCAAACTTGTACTTTGAACTTGGAGAACCACTCCGTCGCTTCCACCGAGACTGATGTCCGCGTCGTCGGTTTCAAAGCACGGCTTGGAGCCAATAAGTCGGCGCAGCGGCGCACATCTATAGGGGTAGTCGGCGCAGTGTGGTTCTGCGGCGGCTAAAACAAAAGGCACAACGGGAGTCTTGTTTATCCTACTTTAGATTCCCCCCCCCCCCCCACCCCCACACGCACACACTCCCACAAAAGATTTCCCGCCCCTCCCCCCCTCCCCCCCGAAACGGAGTTCTGGATCCGCCCCTGCTTCGCGACTGCTCTGAACGAAACCAGCGGAAGCGGATAAATATTCAGGAGATTGTACGTATAAAGGACGGTATGACGGTATCGGATGCGTGTACTGCGTGCCGTTGATACACATTGAACGAGATCTCCGTTGCATGCTGTGTGCACATTCGGTAGGAGGACGCCAGACGATTTGTAATCGTATAGCTGCTGTACAGCTCAACTGACTATACGGCTCGCGGATGTGTTGGCGCGCTCTAAGCGCGAATATCTAGTTCGTTGAATTATTTCTTTGGTGGAAGTTAAGAATGTCGAAGAGCCCTGAGAATTGGACGCTTTTGTAATACTACTACATCTACTAATATTATTAATATTACTAACATCTGTTTTGTTTTCATGACTGATTTTGGGACTGTTCTCATGCACTGAGAATCTCAACCTTCACTTGGACGTTCCCTGCATTGTGCAGCTTTTCAAGGTACGGTTCTGTGATGTTTTTAAGTGACATAACCTGACCTTCTTTTTTATTTTTTTTTATTGAATTTTATATTTGTTTGTGATTTGGAAGCCTAAGCTTTAACTGAAACTATTGCTAATTCTGGTTAAATGCTTAATTTTTTTATATTTTTTCCTTTTTTTTTCTTTTTTTTGTGATAATTATTTTTATATCTTTGCAACCTCGGTTTAGTCACACAAGCCCTTGAAGGCTTTGACGAACCTGCGTTGTTCTGTGGATATGCTCCTCCATCACAAATAAATTATGAAATTATAAAATTTGTAATAACCTTCCCTCTGCGCTAATTGATGTGACATCTCGAGGCGCTTTGAAACGTCGACTGAGAGCTTTTTGTTCAGACATGTAGTGTTGTATTTATGTGCCGATATAATTTTATTTTGCTCTTTTCACTTTCCGTGAAGTCTGTGCATTCTGCCGTGGTGCTCTAGCCCGTACATAATCCCTTTTGTCACGCGTTTCTGGGCAACACAGCAGGCAACACTTTTACCAAGGAACGAGACATCCGGGAACCAAACGCGTCCCAATGCAATGTCGACGACCCCTGCCAGCGACCTGAACAAGTCGTTCTCGCTGTGAAAAGACGTCGAGACACTGCCCGTTCTCCAAGTCGTCGTCTCCGCTCTACATCATGCCGACCAGAAAACAACCGCTTGGGTAGAGGTCACACTTCAGGCCTCTGCTATTACCATCGCCGTTTCGATGTTGACGTTCGACGCTGCCAACGCCCTTGTGCGTGGCCGGAAAACCGGCCGGCCGACCACTAGAGGCGACGAGTGGTCCAAGTCCATGAGAAAGTCGCCTCCTCTACGTGATCAACAAAACCCCCTACTTGTTGACACAGGAGCCGAGATCAGTGCCGTCCCTGCGACACTTGCCGACCGTTCACGTAAGCCGATTTCTTTTCTACGAGCTGTGAACGGCACGTCCATTTATGTTTACGCGGAACGTTCCCTTTCGCTGAACCTCGGCCTTAGACGAGCTTTTCGGTGGGTTTTTCTGGTGGCCGACGTCGGTCGCGCAATCCTTGGCGCAGACTTTCTGCGACATCATTCCCTGCTTGTCGACGTCGAGAGGAAACGCCTGCTCAACCCGACGACAAAACTTACATTACAAGGCATCGACACGACGGAAACTCCGGTGTTCGTCTCCGCTTGTACGCAAGTGCAAGCCGCTTTTCAAACGCAACTCAGCGAATTTCCTTCGCTCACAAGACCTTCCGACTGGACGAAACCCGTAACACACTATGTTACTCATCACATACAAACAACAAGTCTACCTGTCTTCTTCCGCCCACGCCGTCCAGCTCCGGAAAAACTTCGCATTGCTGGGACAGAGTTCGACCATATGCTCGAACTAGGCATATTATGACCATCATCCAGCAGTTGGGCGTCTCCGCTACACATCGGCCCAAAAACAAGAGGAGACTGGCGGCCATGCGGAGACTACCGCGCTCTGAACAAGAAAACCGTTTCAGACCGGTAACCATTCCCCAACATCCACGACTTCACCGTCAATCTTAGGGGATGTAACATCTTCTCGAGACTTCACCTCACCCGAGCCTACCATCAAATTCCGGTAGCCGATGAAGACATCCCCAAAAAGAGCTGTCACAACGCCTTTTGGCTTATTTGAATTTCTACGCATGCCGTTTGGCCTTAGTAATGCGGCACAGTCTTCTCAAAGATATATTGACACTATGACGCGGGGCTTGGAGTTCATCGTTTCTTACGTCGACGACCTGTTGATCGCAAGCTGGTCTCCAGATGAGCACAATGTACATCTCAGTCTTTTCGAACGGCTTGCCAAACATGGCATAATCATCAACACCGTGAAAAGCGAGTTTGGAGTGTTCGAATTAGATTTGTTCAGCCACCGTCTTGATAGTTCAGGCATTCGACCCTTGCCTGCAAAAGTGACAACTATTCAAGACTTTCTGCGGCCAACTTAACTGACCAAGATTCGCCAATTTCTTGGCCTTGTAAATTTCTACAGACGCTTTGTTCCCCACTGTGCCAAACTCCTTCAACCACTCGACATTCTTCTCCAAGGCAAGAAGGGACGCTCAGCTTCTTCTCTTGTCTGGAATGAGGCAGCTGAGCAAGCATTTTGTGAGGCAAAGAGAGCTCTGGCAGAAGCCATCGTCCTACAACATCCTATGCACGATGGTACAACGTCGATCATGACCGACGCGTCAGGTACCGCCGTAGGAGCCGTACTACAACAGCAAGTCAACGGACAATGGCAGCCGCTGGCCTTTTTTTCAAAGAATCTTCAACCCGCACAAACGCGGTACAGCGTGTTTGGTCGTGAGTTGCTCGCTGCGTACTTGGCCGTCCGACACTTCCGGCACTTCGTTGAGAAAAGGGCATTCACCATCTGGACAGACCACAAGCCCCTGACCAATTCCGTCGCCAACGCCGGCTCCTGTTATAGACCTTTCCATTTAGCGCTCTCTGGGCGGCACCATTTTGTTCGACCGCAGCGCCCTCTCCACACATCCAGGAAGTTCAGCGGGTTCGGCGGGGTAAAACGAGAGAGAGGGCACGTGCCCGACTCCGCTAGCGGACGACAAACCGGGAGGTTGCCGTTTTCCATCTTTGGGCTGTATCGGCGGGCAGTACGGAACATCGAACTCTCGCTCGCGGCAGTCGTTCTGAAGTGGTTCGCGTTCTTAAAATAGTTGTTGCTACTCCAAAATCAGCATATAGCTCTCTGTTGTTCTATTTCGCTAAATGATCAACTAGCATATTGTCACGGGTGGTGACCAATAAACAAGAAATAAACAGGAAGAAATAAAGGTTTAATGTGGCGAACTTGTGCCAAAAATAAAAGGGTACAAAAGATAATAACAGAGCGTCGCGG